GCAAGGGAGATGGGGATGGGGAGGATGAAGACGAGGGGTTTGAGGATGCGGTGGAGGATTTGATGTAGATGGAGGGCTGCAGGGTCGAGAATCGAGAGAGGGGTGGATGGCTCTTGCTGGGCTGTGGGTTGAATCGTTGAATCGTTGAATCTCTTTTGATTGAGTGAATCAAGATGGCATTGACGGGTGGACGTACACAGGATATCAAAAGCTGACGTTCCCCAATCAAGCTAGTGAGACTACCTAGAGTAGTATTACGCAAGATGACAATCACGTGATGAGCTCACCAGGCGCATCATCCCTCCCATCCAATTGGAGCGCCGCATGATAATCCGCTCCGACAGGTACTCTACCTCGCCCAGCAGCACCCAACACCATACACATCCCATCCTCGACTCTCTCCACCTCCAGCAAACAATCCCGTCTCTCCTCCTGTCCACCCGCACATCCAGCCATCCACTGCTCCGCCCCGTCGCCCTCGCACTAGCCGTTCCCAGAATTCCGGTGTTGCAAGCGCCACAGGCCATTGCTGGCGTGTGATTGGACACAACGGCATCACGCTAGCAGGGAGCAGGGAGACGTCGATTGTCCATCCACGATGCTGCGATGCTGTTTTTTGTTCTTTGCGAGGGGGGCGAGGGGGATGGGCGGAAATTGGGTGTGATGAGTTATGAAGAGGGATTGGGTGTGGGTTGTGTGGGGACGTGGGATGAGGGACGTGGTTTCCTTTTCCTTGAGAAATGTTTGGCAGTTGGGTGCTTCGTTGTTTCCTTCTCTCTTTTGGTGAGGGTGTTGTTCGTGCCTTCTTCTCCTGTTTTTTTTTGTGTGCATGTGTGGATGTTTGCGTGGAGTGTGGCTTCTTACTTTTCTTGAGAGCGGTCCAGTGTTCTTGTTTACTTTTCTAATCGCTTTTTAATCTCCCAACGTGCTATTCTCTCGCTGCTACCAAGTCCTGACGCCAGTGTTGCTACGGTGGCGATCGATCTTCCCCTTCTAGACAACACGGGAGTGAAAAATATCATTTGCGAATTTGCAAAAGAAAAAAGTACGGCAGAGTGGGAGAAGGAGTCTCTTTGGGAATCAGGCCACCGCAAATCTTTCGACGGGAGCGAGCCACCTTCATCGAGACCGAGTACTGGCCCCAGTCTCAACCATATCTTGCAAAAAGGAGACGAATTGCGCATCCAGTCGACCCCTTCACTTCTGGATTTGGCCCTGCTGATGTCCATGTCTTCGAAATCGTTATGCATTCGCTAGGAGCTTACATCAGTGCGCAATCGAAGCAAGCCCAGAGTACGAGTAGATACCGGTGATTCGAGTCGATATCTAGCAGCCGTGCTTGCTACGCTGAAGCTTGCTCAACGAAACGGTGTTGGTGAAGCGCACTTTGACCATCACCATGGCGGCCTACGAACCATACTCACATTCACCGCGGCCAGCGGGGAGGGTCTCACCACGAACGTACGCCGGCAATCCCATCACGCCTGTACATTCTCCTCACCACTCCATCGCCTCCTCCGCTGCATCGCGTACCTCTGTCCATACTCTTTCCATCCACGAGTACCGCAAACAGCAACACACTCCCGTCCGACCAGACTCGGCAACACCCAGCAAGAGACTTCGCCGCAAGCCAGCAGCCGCAGCTTTGAGCGAGCTGGAGCGCGCGCCACCTGTTGCAAACGCAACAAGATCAGGGTCTACTTCACCACGCTTTCTGCCCTTGGCGCAATCAACCTCTCAACTCCACACCTGCCTCGACGCCAACCAGGCTCCAAACTCGCACAACGCATTGCCCGGCTCTTGTCGCGGGCAATCTGTTGATTCGCACGTTCAAGGCAGCAGTGTGTTGAGCGATTCGACTGTCAACTCCCTCACCAAGGTGCGTTTCTTCAAGACGAGAAAAAGGCTCCCGAAGCCCTCTACTGCCATAGGTTTTGTCTCCGACTGCCCTCTCCTAGGACATGGACCAGAAAATCGACGGCGACAATCGCAATTGCCTGGCCCTTTGAGCTTCTCATCGGACAAAACCTGTTTGAGCGACGCACAAACAACCCCAACGCCCTCGACATTTTCGCTCTCCCGATTCCCGCAACCGCCCCGCCACCTTGACCCTTCATTCTCACCGCCGCCCGAAGAAAGTGAGCCTTCACGCATGAAAGCGATCAGCTACTCTTCGACGGCTCCAGTGACACCACCCGCTACGCCTGCCATCATCCACTACCGTGGCGCGTCGTTTGACCTTGTCAATCCGCACGATTCACTCCTGCTACATGACATTGTCACTCCGTCTCAAGAATTCGATTCCAGCGACTATCTAGCTTTGCGAACATCAGAAGAGATCTTCGCCGAGTCTGTCGAGGTGAGTACAACAATGAATTGTCATACCATTGATGTTTACAGTCCAGTAGATGGCACGTAAGCGACCGCTATACGGTGATGTCGACGCCGCACGCGCAGGCATTCTACAACGCCTTGAAGATGCGGCAAAGGATTCGTTTCACCGACTACCGTCTGCGCCTACCCCTACTGCAGTTAGCCCAAGCTCTTCTTCTTACACTTCACCCATGTATAGCCCCGAGTCTGTCAACGCTCCACCACCATTAGCTACCAGGAGGCCAGCGACCGAGTCTCGATTCTCACTCAAGCAGTTGACTCGTAGCCTCAGCAGGAAAGTGGGAAGAGACTCGGCCCTAGATGAAGGTCAAGAGCTACAGGTCATGAGAAGCGAACCCACAACAGTCTCCAGACCCTCAGAATACGACTATGTCTCCACACCACAAGCGTCGTACTTTCCAGGCCATTACTCTCCGTTGCGACCCAATATTTCTTCACGGGAACGCCATACCTATGATGATACTGTCTATAGTTCGATGTCGCCTATAGATCATGAAGTAGAGTATCCCCGTAGACACACGCACAACCTGTACGATGAAGAGGGATTGACTTCAATGATACCGGATGATCCCTCCACGCAAGTTGGACGTATTGATGGCTCAAAAATATCCCAGCCAGAAGATGCTACAACCTCAAAGGCATACTACGACGACCTGGACTCAATCTACCCGAGTTCTTCTATATACACTGGAGAGGGTCAGCGTCTTTCAAACTATCAGCAGAGTTTGACCAGCAATCGTCTCAGTAAACCATTTCTCCGATACAGCAGCGTAGGAGCTAGTGATTTCACGAGCGATCAAAACAGACAGAGCTTTGCTGGCTACAGCGACGTACATAGGCTGAGCTATCAAGCGTCTAGACCTGCCACGCAAGACTTCCATCATCAATCCGTCGATCAGGGCAATGCGAATACAGACACGATCAGCAAGATTATCGATGAATACAGTCCAGAAGAAGTCGCGAGTAACCCATCGCTCGGCAGGCTTGATGAAGCTGCAGTCGAATCTCCAAACCGGACGTCATTGGCGAGCGGATTCTTCGACATCCATCTACGCTCATCGGAAGAGGACGACAATGGTCCCGGTCTCACGAAAATGGGTTCAGTCCCGAGCAGACGTCCGACAATCACAGTCGACCCTAGCCGGCCCCCACAAGACACCCTGCCCCTTGAGCCGGCATTCGAATACGACGATATTCCCTTTCTTACCCCTCCACGTATGGGCGCCCCTGTCATACTGTCGAATGATTCCTCGTTGTACTCGTATGGTGATACGCAGAATCTGCTGCAGATGGGTCAGAGTGAGGTTGCGGTGCCAAAGGCTCAGCGCCAGGCTCTTGGGTCGTCGTCGTCTTATTCCCAGGTTGAGGTTGGGCGGCTTGAGCCGTCTTCATCTTATTCTCAGGATGAGGTCAAGGTGATTGAACCGTCTTCGTCATACTCTCAGACTAAAGTCAAACTGCTTGAGCCGTCGTCTTCGTACTCCCAAAAGACAGCGCAGAGTCCAGGAACACCCCAAAAGGCACTTGATGAAGCCGAGAGAATCTTTCAGGAAGCGTTTAAGGAGCGCAAACGTGAAGAGGAAAAGCTTCCAGCCATGTGGGCCTTGCGCGGTTTGGGCAGCCAGGTTGTGAGCAAGAATATGCATGACCGGTCTTCTGGGGCGTCCTATGATGCTGTTAACACCAGCTCGGCGAGGAACAGCAAAGATGTAGCAATGGACAAGGCCGATTGGGAGACCGTCGCTGGCAACAGTCTACGCGGGCGTGATTCTATGGACAGCCTTGCAGACTATAGCAGCAGCGAGAGCAGTCGGAATGTCGGACAAGATGCAGATGACTTGCTACCGTCTTGGGATACCGCTCACCACCCAGGTTCCTCGAAAAACAGCCATCCCAGCGAGGTACGAGACTGTCCGTACGACTTTGGTTCTTCACCGCCAAATATGAATGGCCCTACCAGTTCTCGGACTGTACCCATGCTGTCGTCATCCCCTGCAGAATCCAGTCCCATTGGTACAAGGAATACGCCTATGTTTCCCTTCCATAGTTTGCCTGAGCATGTACTTGGCCGTGGGGCAGTTGCATATCCACTATCGCCGGATCCATATGCTTTGAGCGACAAGGAGACGCGAGAGTTGCTGGCTTCGGGCCCTAACGATGATATCCTCGTGGATTCTGACGCTGATAGCCCGGAACGATCTTTGCACATTGACGGACATTATGCGGACCATGAGAACCATGACATGCCAGCGACACCAACCTCTGTTCGAGACGAATCCGGAAGCACGTTTGGCCTGGAGCGTGTCAACACTTTCGAGAAACGTACAGTTGTAGGGCCCTTGGGCAACCTCACCGGAACTCCACATGGCTCCGGTATGCAGCACACTGGTAGTAGTATTGCGGACAATAGTAGCCCCGGTATGAATCTAAGCTCAGCGGTAGCTCGTAATAGCATGCGTCGAGATCGCAAGTCTTATGCCGGGTTCTATGCCTCTTCATTCCCAGCTCTGAGCAGCGTCACTCGTATTAGCCCGCCTCAGCCTCAGCAGCCCAACCAACGTATGCCTACGAGGCTCAGTTTGACTCCTAGGCCAGATTCCATGGTATCAGTCCAAGACTCTCCGCCACCTCCTTTTGCGAGCAGTCGTGGACACCTTCGTAAATCAACCAAATTCTACACCTCACGGCGCCATAGTCGTCCCGCTGTTCCCGGTCAGACAAAGTTGCGTCAGATGCTTCTTGCAAGTGATGATGACGGCACCGTGTCCAGCCAGGGTAAAAACTTTTCTCGCCTGCTGCATGGAAGTCGTCCATCAACTGGCGACACCATCACCCCTCTGTTCCCGAGTCACCTGAATATGGAAGCACTTGGCTCTCGCAATATGATTGCCCACCAGCATTCACCCCATCTTCTTTGCCCGGAGCGTGGGCTCCTTGCAGAGGATGAGGCTCGTCGTCGCACCTTGTCTTGGCTCATCCTTGCGCTGTTCTGTCTGCTCCCACCCTGCATTATCTTGTTCCGTTGGTTCGGTGATACTGTTATCATCTCGATTACCAAGGGCCGCCTGGGCCATACGAGTGCTCAGTCTAAGCGCGTTGCGCTGATTGCTGGGATTGCCGTTAATATCGGACTGGTTACTGCGATTCTAGTGCCCATTCTGGTCTGGTATGGCGTGGAGGTTGCTTGAATGGGGATTTTAGGAGAGTGGCTGATGGAGTGGGGATTTGGGGTGATGAAGGTGAGGGTTTCAGAATGATGCTGATGCTGGTAATGGCCGATTCTGAGGTGAGGCATGGTGGATGATATACGACGATGAAGTGTCATTCATTTCAGAAGATTTTTTCCTTTGTTTAGAGAGGGGTTCTGGGTTTGATTTTGCAGGGTTGTATGCAAAAATCTGGGTCTGGCTATGGCGTTTCGGTCTGGTTGAAAGGGGACTGAAGGATACAGGGCCGGGAAGGAATGAAGCCACTCGCAGGAGGTCCGAGGGAGGTAATGAGGCATACGCAGGATTCGTCATGTCGGTCCACGAATACTTAATTTTGTCCTGTTGCACGCTGGCGACGAGCAAGTCTCGACCTCTGCCGGCGTTTAGTACTTGATTAACGGGAAATTAGTGACGTGATGAAATGTTGTGACTTTGCTGGTTTTTTATGGGTGTATGTTCACTCTAAGTGTTTGTGTGGGTTTTGTGTTGTACAGGCTTGGTGTGTTTGCTTGAGCCTGCTGTTTTGCTCCTGTAACTTGGACGGTGAACGTTCTCTAGCAGAAGCGGATAGGCTCCGTAGTAGCGTCGGTGGCGGTGGCGGTGGCGGCGGATGGAAGCTTGGCAGTTCTTATCGATATGGCCAGTGACCGCGCCGTTTCTAAACTCCCATTAACATCGTCGTCAGGGCCTATCAACAAACCTCAATCTAACGCCATCTCTGATTTTGCTTGTGTACGTTCTGGCCGAAAAGAATCTAGGAGACCTTTTTGAGGTTGAGGAATACTTGAGTCGACTTTTGGGTTATAAAGGGGCTGTGACTTCCTGATTAGAAGCGCTAGTTGTCAATCTTCTCAACTTCCAGCACTGCGCCCCCGTCCCATCTTCAACTCCAGCCATGCCCGAACAATTGATACCGATAGACCCACCCCCATCGTATGAAGATGCACGCAAATCCCCTGCCCCAGACGGCAAGGGTACACCGCCGATTAGCAAAAGACCGCCTCCGGGACCTCCTCCTCCATTGAACTTGCCCGCCTTGAACGAACTGCGGAGAAGCAGAGTTGTCTTAGCATCTGCCTCGCCGCGGAGAAGGCAGTTGCTCGCACAGGTAAAAACTCCCCTTTGTAAACTCCTATCCCCCAAAGAAGGAGGCGCCAATATCTAACGCTCCCACCCGCCTTACCCCCAGATCGGCCTAACAAACATCGACATCTGTCCGTCCAAATTCGCCGAAAACCTCTCGCATGACCTCGGCGCACTAAACTACGTGCTCGAGACGGCCTCGGCCAAGGCGCGCGATGTGTACATGGTGGAAATCGACAACAAGGAACGCGGCGAGCCGGCGATTGTGATTGCCGCCGACACGATTATCGTGTCCCACGACGGAATGATTTTGGAGAAGCCGCGGAGCGAGGGGGCGCATGTGGCGATGCTCAAGATGCTGAGGGATCAGGGGCAGCACAAGGTTATGACTGCGATTGCGGTGATGAGGCCGTTGGAGACTGCGGTTGCGCCGGGGTATAGGATGGAGACGCATGTGGAGGAGACGAGTGTTGTTTTTGATAAGCAGGGTGAGTTTTTTTGTTCTTGTCATTCCTTCTCATTACGACTAGAAGACACTAATGCGAATCTTAACACAGTATCCGACGACCTCATACACGCATACGTCAAGACGCGCGACGGCAACGACAAGGCGGGCGGCTATGGGATTCAAACCGCAGGCTCGGTGCTGATTGAGCGGATAGACGGGTCGTATGATAATGTGGTTGGGTTGCCGCTGCGTTCGTTGCTGAAGCTGATTGAGAAGGTCATGGAGCCGGAGGAGGAGGATGGCGGCGATGATTTGTTTGTGGATGGGGTGGAGGAGCAGGATTAGGGGAGGGGGAGGGGGCCGATGTAGCATGTTTACAGTTGGGTATTGTGGAAAGTAGAGCATAGCTTGGGCGCTGGGTAAATGGGTGTGTAGCTTATGGTTTGTTACTTGGATCTATGTAGAGAGAGAGAGAATGAAGCTTGGGAATCTATGAGGATTGTGCGGTTGAAATGTGCATAGAGCTTGTTTGGACATTGTGTTGTTCTATGAGTGAGATAGTGATTTAGCATAGTAAGTACAGTTACCGAAACAGTAAGTCGGAGTTTGTACTGAATAGAGCACTAGGTAGTGCATACATGCAGAGTCAGTCATTCACGACACAATATGAAACATGGACACTGGGCAAAACTTGAACCTTTTGCCCGTTTAAACCAATCATGCGCTGCCGGAAACCAAGTCCCATAAGCCTTGCAAGTCCGAACTGCATCCTCACCTGCTGCAGGGGATTGTACCGGTGATGGCCAGCACTTCATCATGTACCCAGCGCAAAGTGAAATGGTGATGGGTGGTTTGCATTCACCCTCATTACAAATCCCGCCCCACTTGCCTCGGCTCAGCCCTACCCACTTCGCGGGCACTTGTCCACATCCGTCTCTCTTCCGTCACGCTTGTCGAGCTTTGCATCATCTTACCCTTTCCCCCCAGCCATTTCCCTTCTCGCATCTTCTGCAGCGCGAAAATCTCGTTGGTGGTTTTCTGCTTTGAGCGGGTTGCGCCGTGGATCTGTGGGCTTTTTTGTTGGACGGAGAGGCCGAGGTAGGGGGCTTGGATGGGTGTGGTTGTGGTGGTGGTTGTGGTGGTGGTTGTTTGCCGGTCGGTGGCCGAGGGGATGGTGGAGGGGGTGGAGAGCAGAGAATGGGTGATGATGCAATCAGGATTGTTGCCTAGGTTGTTGGCAAAAGGGAATATGGTGGTAGGTATATATTAGGTGGGCTGCTGGTTTAGGCTTGCTTCATTCCCTTACAGCCGCAACTGTCCTTTATAATTGTGTCACACCTTTACACTACTTCATCTGAGATACCCCAATATCCATTATAACCCCTCTCCTATAATACCTCGGCAAACACTACAAACATACGCATCACCAACAACATGGTTCAGAACAAGGGCGTCATCTTCAAGGAGGTGCCAGATGGCTGGCCTGTTCCTGGCAAGCACCTCGTCGTCGAGGACCGTCCGATTGACCTCGACCAAGACCTCGCACCAGGTGCCATCCTCGTCAAGAACTACTACGCCTCCTTCGACCCTTACCAGCGCGGCCGCATGCGCGCGCCCGAGACAAAGTCCTACTCCCCGCCCTTTGAGCTCAACAAGCCCATTACAAACTCGTCCATCTTCAAGGTGGTAAAGTCCAACAACGACAAGTTCAAGGCTGGCGAGACGCTCAAGAGCAAAAGCATCACCCCAATTGAGGAATACAGCGTGCTCGAAAAGGACCAAGCAGACCTCTGCTACAGGCTCGAAAACCCGTACAACCTCGACCCCAAATACTTTCTTGGCCCACTCGGCATGCCCGGCCTAACCGCCTGGTCTTCCTTCTACGAAATCGGACAACCCAAAAAGGGCGAAACAATCTTCATCTCCGCCGCCTCTGGCGCCGTCGGCCAACTCGTCGGCCAACTAGCCAAGCACGAGGGCCTCACCGTCATCGGCTCCGTAGGCAGCGACGACAAGCTCGCCTACATTACAAAGGACCTCAACTTCGACGCCGGCTTCAACTACAAGACCGAGTCGCCCGCCGCCGCCCTCGCCCGCCTCGCCCCCAACGGCATCGACATCTACTACGAAAACGTCGGTGGCGAGCAACTAGAAGCCGCCATCAACGCCATGAACAACTTTGGCCGCATCGTCGCCTGCGGCATGATTTCCCAATACAACCTCAAGCCTAGTGAACAGTACCCGATTCGCAATCTCATGCAGGTTGTGGCCAAACGGCTCACCATGCGCGGCTTCATTGTCGCGGACGAGAATATGGGACCAAAGCATGCGCGCGAGCATCAGGAGAAGCTGCAGAAGTGGCTTAGTGAGGGGAGTTTCAAGGCGAGGGTTAGTGTTACGCAGGGGATTGAGCGGGCGCCAGAGGGGTTTGTGGGTATGTTGAGGGGGGAGAATTTTGGAAAGGCGGTGTTGGAGATTGCGGATTTGAGCAAGGAGTAGGTGGCCTGGGTTTGACTTCCTTGGTCATTCTTTTAGGGGGAAATGAAGGAATGAAAGTATATAGCAGCGTTTGAATTCGATGCCGTTTGTTGATATTAAAGTCTAGATCTGCACGTCAAACTTGACCCATCACTCACTGCCTGCGTCGAAAAGCCCCCACTCATCCGAAGACTACATCAAAGGCTTCCATTCGCAAATACCATGTCCCATTACAGCAAACTGCAAAACCACACTCCACCTTCTTCACCATTTCTTTTTTTCTCCACGCGTCCATTCACTGCCAACAACGAGAGTTCGTGTAGAGACGACTGCATGGGCAAACATGGCCAAGACGCCAAGTCCTTCTACGAAGTACACGTGACCGAGCCAGGATTGTTGCATTTATCTCAATCGCTGGGTCAGAGGGTGTTTGGTTTGGCCGAGCAAACGGTGCTGGTGCGGCGTTGCTGTTGAACAGATACAACAATCGCGCGAAGAACCCTAAGCCACTTCTGCAATCCTTGATCTCACCTTGCTTCTTAGCAAAAGCTTTGTAACTATATCATCTGGAATAAGGACATTAACACACTGCTAACCTTGATGACGTAGAAGTTCTATTACCACGATACCAATACAACGCCACTGTCTACAATATCAAGCTCGCTGATTGGAAGACCGGGAAATTGGACAATTCGCGCTTGTTCTGTCGCAGATCGCAGTCAAGCCATGGATGCACCGGTAGTGACGATCCCGCCACTGAGTGAACCACTATCCAGGACAACCACGAGGCAGACACTGACACCCTGTCTTGACCGCGCTCTTATCTAGCTTGACAAGATCAAGCTTGACCACTTCAACAACAGACATGACTGTACAGGAATATTGGCAGAACTCCCGCGTACCCACGACCCCACTTAGTACCCGTACAGATTGACGCGTTCGTTTGTCGACATCCGAAGCTTGTTGTTCTCCTTGATGAGCAAAATGCGAATCACCCACGCACACCCAATCGACAACAAGGCAAAGGCAGCAGAAGCTCCAAACCCAATACCATAACGCGGCTCATCATAGTCAGGCCAAAGATATGCCCCGTAAATATAACCGATTTGACCCCCGACATTAGTCATCGCAAGTACGACCGCTTTTTTCTCTTTCGTCTGACTGAGGGTCGAAGATGCCCATCCGATAATGACTGAGTTGACCGAGTATGCGCCCATGGGGAAGATGAAACAAGCCACATATCGACCTGCAGTATCCAATGTGCTGGCGGCAATCACAAATCCGACAATCGCTACGAGGAGGCCAATGGTAATGTGCCAGGTGCGTTCGTGCATTCGACCCGAACTCCAACCAGTCATGATACCCGCCACACCAGCCAAGAGGAACGGCGGGCATGTTAGAACAAGCGTGACGGTCCTGTTGAATCCAAGGGTTCTGACAACGCTGAGAGAAATGGAGTAAGTATTTGCATACCGAGGTTGATGTATTATCACACGGTCATTACTCACGTGGGAAAGAATGAATTAAACGAACAAGCGCTCAAATGAAAGTTCTGCATCAGGCAGAACAACCATGTTCGCTTATCACGACAAGCCTGTCGCAAACCCTCCATCATACTGACCGGCTCCGTGGAATCGCCAACGCGGTCGCGCTCAATCCGGGCATGTGCCATTTCGCGCTCATGAGGCTTCAGCCAGGGTGTCGTCAGAGGCTCGTTGGGGAGTAAGAAGTAACCGAAGATGGCTACGAGACCAGTTACTGCACCTTCCCTGCGATTTATTGTCAGAAAACAACCAGAAGAGTTGGGTGGGCATGTAACTTAACACAATAAACAGCCACCGCCATCCCGCGAGACCTCGGAGCCCATCCATGCCTGCAAATACGCCTGCGGCTATTAGACCGGAGAAACCGGTAGCTAGGATCTGGGCGCAGTAAAGTAAAGCGATTCGCGTTGCAACCTCTGCAACTCTTGGTTATTTGGCTGTTTTTTTTTGGGAATACGGGGTATCACCACGTACCTTTGCGGGTATAAAAGATGGACAGCATGTACGTGGCACCCGGGTAAAACTATGTTTACCATCAGCGCATACACCAAAGCCTCCACTCTCAGTCAAACTGTACCGGCGCCTGACATATTATTAGCGAAATTCCTCCAATATAGCCAGGAGCAATCTGCTCACCTCTGTAATGCCCAAGAAGAACCTACAGGCCACCAATCCACCGAAATTCTGCACCAAAGCCGTACACGCGGATACTATCGCCCAAATGAACATCCACGCACTCATATAGACCCCAGGCTTGATCCGCGTGATGAGCATATTCGACGGCACCTGCATTACTGGAGTCGAAATCAGCACGTCGGCGCCAGACAGGGTTTTGTCGGCAGATGAACGTACAGACGTAGCCAACGAATAAGATTGAAACAGCAGTGTTGAACTGGACACCGCTCATTCCCAGGTCTTCCTCGAGATCATTCAGTCGGGCTTGTGCGATTGCGTTTCTACACGAAGCCGTCAGCGACCGGCTCTCAATGCGGTGTGATGAGGCGTGGTGGGATGGAAGCAGGAGAACTTGCCTGTCGACATAATTCAAAAAGTACATGGTACATAATGTGGGCTAGACTTGTCGTCAGAATTCTTGATTGAATGATGATGTCTTCATGTCAAGCGCATTGTTACTTGCCATCAGTCTCCAGTCGATTTTCCTCACCAAGGCAATCTCCGCCGGATCTGTCTTCGCTTCCGCGCCGGTATAATCCGCATTTTGGGCAGCCACAGGATGCTTGTCGCTGCTTAGCTCGGTCTTGTCCTCGAAAACAGCACAAGGCTTCTCATTCTGCGTCGTGACTTGCGTTTTGGCATCCATGGTAACAAGATCGCAAAGGTCCGGTCAAGAAACCAGCGGATAGCGAGGCAAGGGGTTACCGGTATATGACGGATCCTTTAACCACCAGTTCAACTGATGTGCGCAACCATATTTATCATACTGTGCCATCATACCCTTGGCAGAGAATGGTTCCAAGCTTTTCCCCGCACCGAATGCGAAGCAAGGCGTCCCTGCTCATGAGCTTGGCGATGCAACGCCTCTCATTATTCGCGCGCAAGCTGAACAGCCAAGCTTTTCGGGTATTGTTTTGTACCCGGAGTCCTAGTTTTTCGACGTTCGAGCTGCTTACAGTGGAGAATCTGGGGAAAAGAAATGGGTCTATGGTGTGGGCCAACATGCTCATGGAGCTGCGATGTTGCGTCGACATGGCTGTCAGCTGTGTGAATGAGTTTGAAACTCAGGGTGAGCTCCGCGGGTCGGATTGCAAAAGAATTGACTGTGCGACTTGGGCGTTGGTCTAGACATGCAAAAAAGTGTTTCGGTAACGTTATCCCTGCGTGTCGCATCGGATCTTGATAGGAAAACGAGCCAGTCGGAGTCTGCAAATGGATCTTGCGAATAGATTACTGTGCTTCTTGTCAATTGCTTGGTTGATGTCTAATATCGAGTCCTTGTCAGACCCTTACATATCTGCTGTAACCGACATTATGTTTCAACAAGATTCCGTATCTGCATCCAACTGCGTCTAGCACTTGGTCTTGAAATGGTAGTCTACTTTGCCATTTTTGATCGCAGGAAACACGCCAGCGTCGATTAGGTCGAAGGCGTCCCATTCAGCTGCGCTCTCCGTCTTGAAGTTCCACCAGAACCAACCCTGGGTCTTGTTTTCGAAAGCTGAGATTTGCGCCTCAATGTACTTTCTCGTCTCGTCCTTGTACGATTGTGACCACTGCTTGATGTCGTTTTGCCAGCCGCAGTTGCCAATCTTGGGCGCGTTGTTCAGCGTACCATCGTATCGTGCACCACGTCCGTAGCCATTGAGATACCTCGCGCAATCTGTCATTGCGCCTGTCCATTCGCCGACGACTGTTGCCACAAATCAGTACTTTCATGCCATGCATGCGAGGATGTGAGGCTTACAGGTCCACTTGTCGGCACCATTGTAGGTGTCAGCATTTGTGCAAACGTAGTCAATGTGCTGAGCGGGTGACCATTTGATGAATTTGTTGTCAAAGATTTGGTACTCGTGGTGGTCCATAGCCACATTCAGCGCGCTGCCATCTGAGGGGGTGAGGAATCCATTCCATGAGCTGGGCGGCATGAATCCATCGCCTAGGATGACCGGCGTGTCCGAGACTTCGCGCACCTGGCCGTAGCCATCCCGGTAGAACTGTTTGGTGACATCCAATTTGATCTTGTCTTCCCAATACTGCGCTGGCTCGTTCAATATTTGGATACCAACGACCACATCTTGGAAGCTGGGTTGTGCATATTTGTCGGAGATGGTCTTAAGGACTTGTAGAGTTTGCTTGACTGTATCGCCAGTCTGCCATGTGGGAACATCTAGCCGTTGACCCGAGTTGTCGTATCCGTTCTGCGAGCCCGGTGCACCGTGAAGGTCAATCACGATCTTAAGTCCTAACAGCCGTGCCCAATCCACCGCAGCGTCGATGTAGACAGCAGCACCCGTGATGTATGGCGAGTCCAACGTGTCATACGCCCAGTAACCAATTGGTATGCGAACAATGTTGAAACCAGCCTGCTTAATCTTGTTGAAATCCTGCCACGTGACGAATGTATCCCAGTGTTTGCGGAGAACCGCGAGTGCGGCATCAGGGCCCAACTTCTCGGCAAGCGTGTATTCATCCACAATATCTTTTTGTGGGCGATTGCGGTTTGCATTATCGAAAATGGAAGGTGTGATCCAGCTGTGGTAAGATTCAGTCTTTGTGTCCCTCGTCGTGCCACGTCCACTCACGGCTCCAAGACCAGCCAGCCGCCAATATTCACTCCACGGATCATGTCTGTGCCCCATTTAAAGTCTACATCTCGCTTCTCGCTGCCGAAAGTTAATGATTCGTCTCCGATTGCATATAGGGTATTCGCGAACAAGTTTCCACGTGAGGAGGAGAGACACGCGCCAAGTGTCGCATTAGGATGGGAGAAGCTTACGTTGGAACAGCGAGGGCGGATGCCAATATTGATAACGCTGCAATCGCGTGCGTGAGTAACATGATGTATCGCTAGGCAGTGTTTGGGTAAGAGACTTGATAACTTGAGCTGAAAATGTGGCTGTACTGTTCTGATGAAAGATCCGCAAAGTGGCGCATATAAAGTCGTCACAACAACGAAAGATCAAACCCATTGTTCGCTTACAGCATGTCCCTTGCAGCCATGCGTTCATCAATTCGCACCTACTAACTGAGGATTTGAGCCGCGCAGGCAGGGAGGATGGTGACAAGCGTGAAGAACACGCGACTACCTACAGCCGAGATCTGCACGTAGCCGGACACGTTTCCTTGGATCACACAACTCGGAAGTCGTGTACCACTAAACGCTCCTCTGAGACCTACCAGATGAATATGTAATGTCGACGCCCAGCATTGAGATGTAGTGTTGTCCCTTGCTTTGCTGTGTTGATCTCCTCGCTCCTAGAAACTGGATGGGAAGAACTTGTACCCGATCACGCTTGTAACGTTCTTTTCGCACGCATCTTACACCATGTGGGGGTACTCTAGAATACAGCAAACAAGTTGCATGGCTGAGTTAGTAGTTGTAAATGTTGTGCCACACTGCTCGGCACCCGTGAAGAAGCTGGAGTGATGAAGGTAACTCTAGAAATGACTCACATTCCTTGAAGGACTTCTCGGCAAGACACCTTGAACATTGCCGCATGATCCGAACTGACAACTTGACATGCTCGCGACGGCTTGGTTGCTTGCATTAGCGAAGGTGACACTGCCAGTTTTCTTGTCTTACAGAGTCCGGGGGAGGAGCCGCGCCTTCTCGTTGGCCGATTGGAGCTCCCTGGGCACAGATGTACAAACGAACCATGTATTTCTTCCGTTCTTGCCATAATACTGGATCTTTAGTCTCCTTTCTAATTTCAGATTCGGATGTACCACTGTGAAGGATCTGGCCAGCGATCTTGGAAGACTTTTACTCCTAGACCCCATGACGATCCGTAAGTCGTAAGGAAAAGACACTATTTCTGGTCTGAAGTTCGACTGTCGTACTCTACTATGCTGGAAACTTCAGAACTTTTTTGACAGTACCCATATGGTTTATGTTGCGACGCACACGCTCAGTAGGTGTGATTGACGCGGTCGGCTGATTGCAAAATTCTGCTAGACCTAATGTCAGGAATTGTTGCTCACGAAACGGGATCCTCGAAGGTAAAGGAGCATTCGTGAGATGAGGTGCGGTTAGAGTGTGGCGTTATAGCACCCCCCAGCCGATGCAGGAGCTATGTGCGTCATTGCGCGCAAACCATCTCTTGTTGAAGAACGACCACAACCTGAACTATCGGACCTTGCTGAAAAACCAACCACCCAGCCAGAGGAAGGCGGGAACTGCGCTTACACCAGAGAAAAGACCCAGAACCCATGCCATTGTGCCCCAGCCCCTAGCTTCCACTATAAAGCCCGCCAGCAAGGGGCCAACCATACATCCTGCCGCAAATGCAACGTTGAATAAAGCGTAAGCTTGAGCATAGGCCCCCCCTTTTCCGAACCCAGGATGACCCTTTGCAAGCATGCTCTTTTCTTTGGCTTCGACAACGCCAGAGATCTCTGCCAAGATTGGGGGAAACGTGAGTGCAAAAGACAATCCAACTATTGCGAGTAAGACACATAGCAACACTTTGTCATCGATGCTATTGTTGTCCACGAAGCGCAAACAAACGAGCGGTGGCACGGCAGCCAAGAACCCAGCCATGACGAAATAACGACCTCCGAACCTGTCACTCAGCCAGCCAAATAGCGGGGCCACAAAGCTTGGAATGACAATTGGGAGGAAGAGAAGTGCCGCGCCCGTTGCCGTCCAATTGAACACATTCGCAGCATGGATAGGAAGAACCGAGTCAAAGGCGGTTGTAAGTGCAGCCTGAACGAATGCGCAGAAGAGTGATGCCAGTAGCCGACGAGAGTAAAGTAATGATAAGACTGGAGGAAGAAGATCACGGTACCGTCGACGAGGGGGAGAAGTAGGTTCAGGATAGGATTGACATCCAGTCATCGGCTGGCCCTTTTCCGTGTCGTGAGTCCCATCGCCATGGGTGGATCCTGTATCGGGTTTCAAAGTATTATCAGACTCATTGATAGCAGCTACTGCTACCCGGCCCATGGCATCCGGATCCCAACGAGCCGCAACCTTTTTCTCCACCAGTAGCAGTCGAAGGACAATATCCAGGCCAATCAAAGCATACGCCATAGCGAATACTGCTCCATACCCAGCATGATCATACACCACACCTCCTAACAGTGGAGATAGGAGCAAACCTAGGGACAGCCCCAGACTGAGCCATCCAGTAGCTGTAGCGAGTCGTTCTTGCGGAACCGTATCAGCCACAAGGGCAAGTCCGACGACCCACCTAGAGCCTGTTAGTACTTGTTATCGATCACGTGAGCATACGTACACAACAGCAGCCGACGCTCCTTGCAACACACGGCCAGCAACCAGGAGCCCTGTTGAGCTACCAACATGCAGCAAGACAGTTGAGCCCAAGAGTGCAGCAAGACCCAGTAGAAGTGGTGATCTTCTAGAAGCCCCCCGGTCGGCCAGCCAGCCACAGATGGGAGAAAAAGCAAGCAGAGATGCTCCATAGATCGCAACAAGCACAGTTACCCAATACTGGACTCGGCTTTCATCAACGTGACTGCGCGTTTCGATCGCAAACGGGACGACAGGGACAATAATGCCATACAGGAACATGTCCTATTTTACCTAGTTAGTGAGATGGATAGCGTTGCTTCTAGCGACACATACTGTAAACACTGCCAACGACACAGTTCCGACGATGAAGCTTTCTGAACTTCTGAGCTTCAGCATAAATGGCGCTTTCGAGTCACGTTGCGTCAAAGACATCAGCCACTTGGGACGCGCCATTGTCCTGAGATGATTGATTCTTCAGCTCTTTCCGGTCATAAGATCCCTCTATGTTGTTGCCTCGAATACGCCGAATCAAGAAGTACAGGACAAAAACAAAGAAGAATAACAAAATATCGGTTTTCAACAAAAAATTAGAGTCCCGTCTCCTCTCAGTTGAGATCAAGTCATGCCAAGGCAGCCGGCATCCGCGGCGTCCGCAGGCCCGACGCCCGACTTCAAGTCCGTTCCGACAGTGCTTGTTCACGTCGATCCATCTTATCTCCATCACGATCGCTTCAACCTCCAGAATCGCTCGCCAAAACCATGACAATTGCTGCTTCAGAAATGGAGTTGGTTGGTCTGACGCGATCCAGGGAGGAATCAGGATAGGTAACCTTGGAATGCTGTGCCAAATGCCAAGCACGGAACTTCGAGCCCTGTCGCTTCCGGCAATTCGGTTCTATGTCGTATGTCCCGCGGGTAATTCGACCACAATGGTTGTCACACTTTGGAGATGTCTTGAGAAGAGCCCAGCCATGGCATTGAAAGATAATCATCTGGCTTGAAAAATGGCATCGGCCTTGGAGCCTTGGCCATTAATAGGGTTCTTACACTCCAATCGCTCCATACGAAGCCGGACGCCTTATCTGCACCGCATTACACGACAGGTCTAGCGCGACTACTGTGTAAACACATCTGTCGACTGCTACGCCAAATTATCCGCCTAACCATCTGATCAGGGAATGGATGCAGAAGAGATTCCGCAGTCGAAAACCAACAAAGTGGAGCATTACTTACGCGCGCCTAGGACTAGTCACGTCACTACCAGTTACACAGCAGTGGTGTGGTGCAGTTCGCCATAGTTTCTGCTCTTACAGAAACACTTCCACGGGTAACATTTTTAAGCCACCTCTGTCCTTCAGCTGATAGCTTTGCTGCGAGGAATACGGTCTTGTGCTGGTAGATCACGGAGAAGGTTTCGAATAGTTGCTTGCGCTTCATGGCAAATGATGGAGGATTGGACGGCTGTCATGACTGCACACAACTGGGGTATTCGTTCATGTACTGTGACTCTGCCTCCAAGCATTTTGGCGCGTCGAATCTCGAACCTGGATCCCGGAGTTTTGATCAAGTTATTGCTAAGCGCAAAACAAAGTATAGGCTTGAGAGAATAGGTTCGACAAGTTGAAAAGTATTGCGCATCGTCTCATGACAGTGGTCACAGGCTCACCTTGGGGGCTTGTTTAATAATGAGCAATCTACTGTTGTAGGCGCTGGCGGTTCCCGTGCCGCTGCGATATTGACTCTGTTGAACATTTCCAAAAAGGGCCGACTGGGCGGTCCTGGTGTGCCAATTCATGTGCCATTATCCCTCCTATGAAGAAATTTTGCCCTCCATCCCTTCGAGCCATTATCCCCGCGTTTCGCAAATGGCTTCTCGGCGCCGCTGTAGAAATGAACGGAATCTGGTACGCACAGCCATCGGTCGAGATTCACGCCGATGTATATACTAGTAGCAGCGATGTCGTTTCATTGATCGGTACTTTTGAAACGGCGCTAAGCCAGTCCGACGACAGGTCACTCTTGTTCGCTTCCCCTTCATTTTCTGGTACATAACCCAAACCCCAAAGCAGTTCAAACTAAGGTATCGATGGCTTACTTAGCAGAAATTCTCTTGTAATTCCTCGAATCAAGCTTTCGGAAGATTAAATATCGTATCTGCACCCCGCCCGGAGTCGATCCATTTCGACCACGCATTTGATTACCGGCGAGAGCCGCCGAAGTTGGCATTGCACCTGTACGCGTGATAAGCCCGTAGTTCCACCAGCTATATGAATACGAGATAGTTTTTTGTGGGTTCTTGTCAAACATACAGAATCTGGTTGGTCTGATTGGGGATGACGCAACGAGCCGGGCGTACTGAACGGCTTCAATACTGAGCACAATTACATGTGAGGCCTGCCTGTGAGCCACAGCACTCATCTCGCTTACGTCCTCGTGCCAATCTGTGAGATGCGTGAGTTGTCAAACAAATGAGTTGATTGTGGAGCTCCGTCTGTGAAGTCGGCGGTCTAGACGAACCATGAGCGGAAATCCCTGATCGGGAGCTGTGTTTGGCATGGGACGGTTGCCATGTAGGCGTTTCGGGACGGCAAGCGCCATGGCAAGGTTTATAAACACTTCAATCTCGAGGGCAGCATGTATATCTAGTATGCAGACGCCCCTCATCTGGTCATCCAACCACCATCACTCCTTCTTCCATTCTATCACGTAACCTTCTTTCACTCCTTTCACATTCATCATGGTTTCTATCAAAGAACTCGCTTTCTTTGCGTTGGCCACTGGTCTGGCATCAGTCAACGCTCAAAGTACCGGCAAGACCACCAGGTACTGGGACTGCTGTAAAGGATCATGCGGCTGGACCGAAAAGGCAGTAGTCTCTTCACCTATCCAGAGTTGCGACAAGTCAGACAACCCAATTGCGGACATGGCTGCCAAGAGCGGCTGCGAGAGCGGCGGACAAGCATACATGTGCACTGGCCAGAGCCCATGGGCAGTTGACGACAACCTGGCTTACGGATTTGCCGCTGTCAAACTCGCTGGCGGTAGCGAGAGTTCCTGGTGCTGTGCTTGCTACGAGTACGTTACCACCTGACTTGGAGTACGCTGATCATTACTGACCCCTGGAACAGATTGACTTTCACATCTGGCCCCGTCAGTGGCAAGAAGATGATCGTCCAAGCCACCAACACCGGTGGAGACCTGGGACAGAACCACTTCGATCTTGCCATGCCCGGTGGTGGTGTTGGCATCTTCAACGGCTGCACGGCTCAGTTTGGAGCCCCTTCCAGCGGTTGGGGACAACAGTACGGTGGCATTTCGCAGCGCTCCGAGTGCGACAGCTTCCCCGAGAAGCTCAAGGCCGGCTGCTACTGGCGCTTCGACTGGTTCAAGAACGCCGACAACCCTGATGTTTCCTTCAAGAAGGTTACTTGCCCGGCTGCCTTGACTAACAAGACTGGCTGCATCAGGAAGGATGAAGCCGGATCACAGCCAGAGGACTCTCCTGCCAGGCCATCAACCTCACTCGTGCCCATGCCTTCACCCACGCCTGAAGCCTCAGCCAACCCCCCTGTTCAGCAGGACACTCCTGCCCCAGAGGAGGAGGCTCCTGCCCCAGAGGAGGAGGCTCCTGCCCCAGAGGAGGAAGCTCCTGCCCCAGAATCTCCCGCCCCTGTCAACTCTCCCGCTCCGGTCAGCCCTCCCGCTAATCCCGACAGTCCCTCTTGGCCCATGCCCTCCAAGGCACCTGGCGGCAACAGCTGCCTCAGACGCCGCGCGCGTCACTGAATCTGTCGTGGAGTAGAGCCGGGTGCTTCGTTTCTAGCGTATATACTTTCTATCTTGACAGATTTATCTTATACTACATTTTTATAAAAGCTTTGTTCACGACTCTATGTGACAGTCTTTGCAAAGCCCTGTGACAAGACAAGTCTAAGATGGAAAGCGTGATCGTGGAAATTGAAGACGCAAGTATGATGGCTGATGTGGCGAGGACGGGAAGAGGGAATACTACCTCAATTTAACTTTGGGAACTTGTTGGTACCATCGAGATCTGTATTCTTCTGGCGTAAGAACGCCATTGACTGCATACAGTACACAGCTTGTTCATCCACTGCCGAAGTTATCTCTACAGTCAACTGAATTTCTCCCAGAACTTTATCCACCAACACCATCAAGGCCGGCATTCTTCATTCTTTAGATAGGGCACCCCTCCTGTGCCGCCCACATGAATGTCGCTCAAGACCTTACCTATCTCCCTGATATCCCCAACTCATCTCCGAGATACCCGAAATCAATAATTCTCAGATACAGAATGGCAACGCGGAGATAAGCGCAGCCAAGGGCGCGGGAAATTCAATACTAACAATAACAAGACTTGAAATAAATAAAGCAGAGTTCTGCAGCAAAATCACCGACTTTGAGTTCGTGATCTGGCCTTGAGTCTCGATCGTAGAATTCGATCCCTCGGAGGCAAATGGCCATGTTAATTGGCGAATTAGGCCGTTGTTACTCCTACCGAGATGGAAGGACGGGGAGCGGGCATGAATCGCCGTTAGAAGCTCCGGATTAATTATGTGGAATTTCATGTAGCGGGGTGGAACCGATGATGCATATGGCATGATTAGAAGATCGCTTCTTTTCGCAAAGCAAAAGAAAAAGAAGAGGGCCATCACTAGCATCTTGACATGCAAGAGATTACATGATACCTAAACCCCTTCATCAATACCTTCAATCTCCTACCCAGCACCCCAAAACACCCCAAGATTTTCCACCCGAAATCCAGACCAAACCCACTCCCATAAACATAACTCACCACATCAACCAGCCCACCGACATCCAACCCAAAAAAGCAAGCGACGTAAGCTAGCAGAACACCATATTATACCTCACCAAAGCCACCCTCCCAAAGCGATTAAATTCGAGAAGATTAAAAAAAAAGGGCAGAACAAGAAAACGCGTATAAAGTACTGTATCCGCGCGTGTTCGAACTAGCTGTCAGAGTTACATCAGGTTGGGTTTGTAGTTTGGTTGGAGGCATGTATCAGGTTGGAAACTTACGTCCGAGGGTAAAAGGTGTAATTCTCCATCCCATCCTGTCTATTTGATCCTGCCATTTCATCCTATTCCATCTCACCCCACAGCGCTATATCCAAAATACCCAGGATTTACGCTAGACGGAAAACGCTAATTTAACACAGCGCCTTCTACCCTGGCATCTTTTCTTGAATGACTTTTTTTTGTCAAGCAGGATGCCAATCATGCTGTCTGTATGTGGTGCTTCAGCCTTAAATTCGAATGACGAAGCACCTCCCCCATTCTTTTGGCTTTATTCCCCGCCAATGCAAGGATCGTTGGGAGGAACACCATCCCCATCCTCTCACGGGCAATGGAGGCAAAAAGATAATAATTCTGGCTTTTGCCTTTGCGTCTGATTTTTATTTTGCTTTTGATTCTGCTGTGGAATTTGATCCTCTTGTTTCGCAACCCGCTCAGTCACTAAGATCAATAATTTGCCTCTGCCTCCCTTGCGCCTCTGGCGGCGGCGTCTCATCGCTCACGCCCTCTCTACTCCCCAACTTGGGTTTCCACGTGCCATCCACGCCCACGACAATCGTCCTCGTGTTCCCCAGCCCCTTGCTTTCCAACTCGCGCTTCACCTCTTCGAGGAAGCCATCGACAATGAGCTGGCTGGGCCGCGCGTCAGCCGCACAAATTGGACATCGCCAGACATCTGCTCTGGTGACGTCGCCCGTGCGAGTGCGCGAATTGAGGAAGATTTCAAGGTCGAAACAATCATTATGTGCACACGATTTGGTGCGCACGGGGATATCGCAAATGGAAGATGCAGAGAAGGGGTCGTAGATGGAGATGTTGAGGCTAGCGTCTACAATGGCTACATCGTCATCGTCGGATGCGCCTGGGTCACTAAATTTCTGCTTGATAGACTCGAGCACAGTGGAAGCAGGAACGCGGCGGGAGAGGCATTCCTCTTTGATAGAGTCGCGAGTTTGTATGCCGAGGGACTCAATGGCTACAAGGTACTCCGTGTACAAAGTCTCGGTGGAGGCACTCATGACGGTTATTTCAAGTGTATTGACGCCTTCCTGGACGAGTTGCGTCATGTCAATCGGCTGATCTTTGCCGTAGTGTACTTTTCTTCGTTGCTCGAGCGCTGTATCATTGAACCGCATGTAGGAGTAAGGTATCCATGCCGTGTCAGCAATGGCCCACTCATGTTCACTGGGGGGCACAACACTCGTCCATTTAATGCACCGAAGGCGTATCATCTTGCTCGCTTCGGTGACAGCCCTCGTAGAGCAGCCAAGCTCATTGGTGACCTCCCGGGCGATTGTGCTCATCTCCGTTGCCGTCAAGGTAAAGCAAAGAGTTTCAATCGCTCGTACAGCATCTGAGAGGCGTACTGGTTGTTTGATGAAGCCTTGCGCAAAGCAGAACAACGAGGATCGCGGAGAAGAAGGAGCTTTTAGTACGGGGCTCCGTAGGTGAGCCTGATGTAGACCGAATCGCACAGGGTTTGGTGTCCTTTGAAGCGGTTGAGTCCAGCCTGATGGTGGGAGTAAAGGGGCACCAGTCCTTGGTCGTTGTGCGTGGGACGGCCCTGGTCGTGATTGCGGCGAACCGTGGGACTGGTATGAACGTTGTGTTGAAAGCGACGAGACTGAAGCATTGGATTGAAGCGCGGGCCTACTTCGGGGTCGATCCTGTATCCGCATCTGCAGTATATCCCCTTGCAGAGGCTGTTGATGTGCCGATTTATCGTTAGATGACAATGTTGGTGTCAGAAGGCCTGAATTGAGGTTAGCTTGTTGTTGAGATTGCTTGGGAAGCAAGCGCGACTGACCCGACCCCGCGGACCGTGAAGCCAACGAGTGTGTCTGATTTCGCAAAGCAGCCTCATGCTCTTTCACCAGCTTTCTTAAAGGCCGTCCAAACATGATGCCTTCTTCGAATGGCTCCTGTTGCGGGCGAAGTGCGTGCTGGTAGAAGGCGACCCGGTTCTTCTCCAAAATAGTCAATGTTTTCGTCTCGAAGTAGGGATCATAGGGGCCCTGGGAAAATCCTCGACAGATCCAGCGCAGGCACGATGTGAAGAGCAGACGCTGAAAGGTCGACGAGGCGATCTTATAGTTGACAATCATTTCATGGGCGAGTAAAGGGAAGCCACGCTCATCACATGTGTGCTTCAGTGTCTGTATATCCGGCGAATAGGTTAGAAACAGGAGGAAGCCGAGACCCTGCTGCTCGAACATGACCGGCCACCGTGCAGCGACCTGTTCAATGGGAGCTGGGAAAGTGGCGAAGAAGTCCAAGTAAACAGTCGACAGGTTATTATTGGCTCCCAGAACATCTCGCAGAAGCTGCATGGCTTGCGGTAACCTGGGCTGGGATAACAGCGCCATGGGCACTATAGTCCGATCAACGTCCAGAATACAGTAGTACTGGTGCAGGGTGAGGTAGAACCAATCCTGTTGCTGTATGGCAGTTTTCAGAACGAGCAGACGGTTCACGTCCCGACCACGTGAAGACGGGGTTTGTGTAGTCTCGAACCGATGTATTGCCTGCCAACAGTCTTGTTGAGTATACCATGTGCGTGGTGTAGGTTGTGCATGAGGCTGGAAGGGTACTGCAGCAAGCTGAACCTGCACACTTTGTGATGAATATGGCGGATCAGGCAATGGTCCATGCTCGCTGGAAACCTGCTTGAGCGACGGACTAGGCGAATTTGCTTGCTGTAGCGTTGGACCATGGTGACGCTGTACTGATGTTAATGGGGCTCGGCGGACTCTGTCAGAGCCAGTGCTTCGTGGAGACGCGTTGGTCTCACTTTCCGCCATGCGCAACCGGTCCTGGTCAGGAGTGTGTTCTTGCGGAGGTATATTTGTTGGGCGAAATTGTTGCAGTGGAGCTTCTCTGGGAGCATTCTGAATCAGGTCTGCGGATATTGGCTCCAAAGGGGTGTCAGCGACGCTCGAGTTGTATGCTGGATTCTGACGACGCGAATCGGCATCTACGAACTGGCCACCAGATGGCTCGTGAAGCGGGGGCGTGGGCAATCTGGTACAAGTGACTTGATATTCCTCCCTTGACCTTGGCGAGGGAAAGTTGGCGACGTGTGACTGGCGACGGCGGTCCGCATGTTGCGGGGAGACGAGATTGGCCAGATGTGGGGAGCTGGAGGTTGATGGAGTTCGAGTGAAGGGGAGTGCATGCAAGGTTGGAGAAGAGTGGGCAGGTCGCTTCGACGGCGCGGTGGCAGGCGTGGACTGCTGGTCTTTCCTGGGTCTTCCCCGCCGTCTGGGTTGAACAGAGTGGGCATCCTGGCGAATTGGCGGTCTAGTGGCAGCAGGGCCATGGTGAAGGGCTGACGCTGACTGGGCTGGCTGGGCCGACGGGTCTACCATCCAGCTCTTTTGCTTTCCACCCAGATTCCCCAGGGCACAGTTGAGCGTGTTCTGCACGTCCTGGCTGCTGACGGAAGCAGGCGGACGGGCATGCCTGGCCATGTTGCGCTACTATAGAGACGTCGTATAGCGATCGTTCTGCAAGGTACAGTTTGTTGCTGCTCGAGGGCCGAATGCGCTTATAGCGCTTGAACAAGTGTCCACGAAATCGCCGAGGTTGCGGGGTGTTCATGTCGCTCGACGGTGAGCAGCGGCTGGCGACGAGGATGAGGCGACGGGCATGGCAGGTGATGTGGGTCGTGGCTGCCCCGGGAGTGAGTAGAGATGCAATTGCAGTTCCCGATGGAGGAAGGAACGAGGGAACGAGGGTCTGAGTGGGTCACTTGGGTGAGAATGAGGCAGCCGCACAGTCCAATCGACGGAAGGCGCGCGCAGGGGAGGAGAAAGGGAATGAGGGGGAAAGATGGGGCAGGGCAAGGGCAGGCAGGACCCAAAGAGGGTGAGGAGGCAGTCGCGACCTTCGCCACAGCTACGGTTCCCGGTCCGTATCGATCGGACAAACGGTCTGGGGCGGACGCTAAGAGTAGGAAGCTGAGAAGAGGGGCGCTTGGGCCTTTTAAAAAAAACCGTTGGGACCTGGGGCAGCTTGACGGGAGGTACCGGTACCGTAGCCATTCGGAAACTGTGGCGGCTTGGGCAGGGCAGGGCAGGGCAGGGCAGGGCAACATCCATGATCATGTCAAGATGCTCAGTTGAATTGCCAATTGCTTGATACATGCTGGATCGCTAGTAGCTGCACGTACTACCACGGCAGCAGTGGCAGGATAGGTATGCCATGGCATCGCAAGGGACAAGGGACTGTCGAGACCATCGAGTGCCTGGTCCAGGTAAGCAGGAGTACAAGGTACTGTAAGTACATACAGTACACTCTCAACAGTGAATAGCTTCGACTACGATGCATCTGACAGTATCCGTACTCTTAGGGGCCAGGATCAAATGCTGCAAGGCTGGCTATGAAGGTAAGGATGATCGAATGGTACTAGGTACCTACTCCTACGGTATGGGGATGCAACATGGAATCAATATCCCGAGTCACATCACGTGACCTCTGGGCATGCCAGCTCTGATGTCAAGGGAAGGTCGTGCGTTGTGGTCGTCTAGGTAAGTACTCACTCCTAGGGTACTCTACTACTATCCTCTAGGCACGGTAGTCTAAGAGTACAATAACGATAGCTACTGACCCTCGCTATTCATCATGCACCTACACACTATAGTGGCTTTTTACGGGTAGAGTGACTGTTTTTGTAAAGTACATTGATCCAGCACCAGCCCATGCCAAAGTGCAGCCTTGCGCAACCTTCTGGACTTCTCGTCTCTCCCGTTGTCTGTCTGTTGTCTAGCTGCTCACGAGGGGCCGGCCCATGACCTAATTATAGGAGAAGGAGTGAGCGGCAACACCACCAACCCGCACCGCACCATCCAGCCAGCCAGCCCGCCAGAGTACATACTAGTACATGACCAATACCCCCGATACCAATACGAGCCTCTCCCTACTGTCGATCATCCTCTTGTCCACTGTCCACCATCCCATTTTACCATCATCGCAGCGGCGCAGGCGGGACTGTCCTCAAGGCTCTTTCGCGCCCTTAAGGCTCTTTCGCGCCCGAGTCAGTCCGCCCTCTCGTTGCGCCCGCCACGAGGGCCAGCCGATAGCGCCAACCCCAACCGCCGCCATAACACGATGAGATGAACCGACAACCACTTTGCTAGCCGCGGTGACCATCGCTTTTGCATGCCAACCACCAGTTTCCCAATCCTGCGCGGGATAGCGGTACTTGTGCATTTTCCTGTTTAGCCACAGCGAGAGCACCAGCACCAGCAGCAACACCAACAGCAACACCAGCGCTACCACCTCCATCACCACCTTCTCCCCCATCACCTCCATCTCCAGCTCCCCCCTCATCTCCCCACCATGGCCCAACGCTCGCACACGGAGCACTGTCGGCCCGGTGATACCCTCGTTGTCGTCCGTATGTAAACCCTACACTCCATCCAAGCGCAGCGACGGTTTGGCCGTCCGGACTGCCAAAGTGGGGACGCATACACTAACACACGACGACAGATGAGTTCGTAGCCCGCAGCCCTGACGAGCTGAGCCTGCGACGGGGCGACCGCATCGAGCTCATCGAACGCGACGATGACTTTGGCGATGGCTGGTTCTTGGGCAAGAACACCGAGTCTGGCGACAATGGACTCTTTCCAGAAGGTGTGTATCCCCCTCGCCCTCTGCGAAACACTACAACGCCCAACTGCACTCATCACAACTACTTGATGAGCTTGTCCACGCTCGGCTAACAGCATCATGTCAAGTCTACACGAGACCGGCGCCCAAGCCCACGCCCATCCCCACGATGCTCTCACGCAACCCTTCACAGAGGTCGGCACGGTCAGAAAAGGTCGCACCGGCTGCTGGTACGCCCGTGTCCGAATCCCCCTCTTCGAAGCTGGCCCCTCCCGCAGCCAGCGCACCGCCGCCTCTCAAAAATGTCCCTACCGAACCACTGCACATTGGGCCGCCTACTACACCAACCGACATGCGCCGAACGTCGCTGCAGACATCGCTCCAGACGGCCCCGAGGAGCATCAGCATGACCATGAGCGGCGAGGTGCCACCAGAGGATGCGACGATAGGAAGCCCCGTCATGCACGAGACGCTAAGCGTCATTGATGAGCATATCACCGACATGAGCACACCACGCCAGAGTGCAGCCCCCAAGGACCTGCGCGCAAACGACTCGGGCAGTGAATACAGCAGCCAGCACCGCCTCTCGTTTGTCAACGGTCAGGAGACGGACGAGGAGGAGGAGCAGCACTGGCATACGGAAGAGGAAGTCAGGACGTGGTCGCCCACGCGTGTCGCCGAGTACCTGGAGGACGTGGGGGTGGAGAAGAAGCACTGCGACGTCTTCCGGGAGCAAGACATCGACGGAGAGGCTCTATTGGGCGTGGATCGCAACTTCATCTTCATGCAGGAATTCGACTTAGGTCCCATGGGACCACGACTACGCACGTGGATGAAGATCAACGCTCTACAGTCCGAGGTCAAAAACGCCAAAGAAGCCGCCAGGCAACTGCAATCAGTGCCTTCCTTTGATGGGCAGGGCGACCTCCCTTCTCCAGAGAACAGCCGACTCAGAGCTGCGTCGACAGGGTCAGTTCTGCCTCGCATATCGACCGGGCTGCGCGAGAACATGGGGTCACGTGGAAACTCCAGTCGAGCTCATGGCCAGATTCCCCGTGCGGTCTCGTCTGCAGGCCGCTCAAACTCGACTTTTGAGGCCACATCCCCATTGATCCAGCACATGTCCGCCTCACCCTCTGCTGAGTCGCCTATCCGGCCATCGGCTGCCTCTGTTCGCAGCATGACCCATAACAGACGCCACTCCTCGATCGATGACTACAACCAGGGTCCGCCTACACCCACTGCAGCCAGTCACATGAAATCTGCATCCAACGCATCTGGGCCGACGGCGCACAAGAAGACGCCATCCTTTGATCGCAACTGGACCATGGGAGCCACGCCCAAGTCTCCACCAGCATTGCAGAGACCCCTGTCATCACATCACGTTTATACGACGAGCGCCAATGGCACAACATTCGATTTGCGTGAGAACGGCTTGACCGCTTCTGAGCTCGATCGAGGCTATTTCTCAGGTGGTGAGATAGATAACCGCAATCGTAGAAACGTGCTGCGCAAGAAGGAGAGCCCAAACCACTCTCGCAACCCTAGCTATAACGCCGATGCTGCCCGCCGCACCAGTTCGTACAGTCGACGACACAGCAGACTGGGAAGTGCAGACTCTGTGATTGGCCACACCATGTCTCCAGCAGCCAAGCAGTACTACGGTAACAGTCACAAGGCCAGTAATAGTGCAACAAGCGCCTTTGACTTTGTACGCCCCCTCAAACCCACTGCTGACTCAAACCCAACCGTCACCAAGCTCTCCTACGACGGACATAGCATTGATGCCATCGCAAACTCGCCGCGGGTACCAGGTAGCGAAACTTCCAGCACAGGCCGTGCCTCACCCTCACCGGCGGCGGCTCCCTCACATTCGCGGTCCTTTTTCAGCAAACGATCGCAGCCTAGAGGTCTCCGAGCGATTTCAGATGCTATTACTGGAGGTGAAAAGGCAAACCTGAGCACCGGAGAACTACAGGCATCTCCACACAAAGATTCACCGATGCAGTCGCCTACGCGAACCGGATCTAGCACTCCTTCTGGCACGTCATTGTCTAAGAGCTTCGAAATCGGACCAGATGGCAGCAAGCGACACACAACCGACTCCACTGTCAAGGAAAGCCGGAAGAAGTACAAGAAACACGGAACCAGTGCGTACCTCAAGGGTCGTCAGCAGGTCTCGCCCCAAGAAGCCATGGCAAATTGCGACTACAGCGGCTGGATGAAGAAGAAATCGTCGAGTCTCATGACTACTTGGAAAACACGCTTATTCGTCTTGCGTGGCAGACGTTTGGCTTACTACTACTCGGAAAACGACACGGAGGAAAAGGGCCTCATCGACATTTCATCTCACAGGGTACTTCCAGCGATGGATGAGAAGATGACTGGCTTCCATGCATCCGTCACTCGCGCGGCTGCTTCGCCCTCGTCACCACACAATTCTACAATTCAGACAGCCGCGTCAGTGGACGCTGCTAAGACGACCCCAGGTCTGGAGGATGACATGGCCGGCATGTTCATCTTCAAGCTTGTGCCTCCGCGTGCTGGTCTACAAAAAGGCGTGCAATTCACAAAGCCGATAGTGCACTATTTTGCTGTCGACAGTCTGACGGTGGGACGATTGTGGATGGCCGCGCTCATGAAGGCTACCATTGATCGCGATGAGGCATTGCCTTTTACCACGACTTATCAACAAAAGACCATCTCACTTGAGAAGGCCAGGGCCATGCGCCAACGCCCACCGAACCTGATGGATGAAGACACGGCAGATGGCTCGGGAGATGCGGAGAAGAAGAGCGAGTATTCAAAAGAGAGCCTCAAAGACAGTACGATACACGAAGAGGACGAAAAAGGCTTGGCTATAACTGGATTGGACGATGCCAAAGCCCTCCTTGCCTATGCGGACAAGGGTAGCAGCAATGGCGACTCTTACCCCGAGCACAGACACGATCTCGCGGTCGCCGGCGTCGCCAACTGATTGCTCGAAACATGAATACTCTATCAGCCAGCGTTTGATATTACACAAACTCGATTCGCAAACCATACCTGCTCCTTTAATACGATCCTTCTTTCTACCCGCGCAGAAAGCCTGGCTTGCCGTCCTCTGGCTCTCCCAAGATCTGGACAGTCCCCCCTGCTTCACCACAACTCTGCGCCGATTCTCATACTTGACTTGGCTACACAACTCTCTGCGATCGATTTTCCTTTGTTCCTTTTGCTCGCTTCCACGACTTATTATTACGAACCTTGGCAGGTGCGAGAGCGAGGATGATGGATTTGGATGTCGAAAAGCCGAATTTATATGTAGGACTTTTCTTCTATATAATATGATGGTGATGGAGACGGTGACGGTGGGCGATGGCGAGGACGATAGCAACGGGAGGATCATATCCAACTCGTGAGCGAAACACATCAATAACTGAAAGCAACATGTAATAGTACGGAAACCCCAATCCGAATATCTACCATTCCTTTTTCCCTGACTTACTTACTCTGGCGCTACTCCTCATTCCTGATGGATGATGTCTGGCCTTGCCAAAGTGTTGTTTGGGAATGTGCAAATTTCTGCGGGCCTTGTCTCGTCTCCCTTGCTGCTGGAGATATTCACATGACATGTGAGATTTGCCGTGGTAGAAGAGTATCGTAGTTGTAACTGGACGACCAAGTGTCGTGGAACTTTTGAAATTTTGGAATAAAAACACGAGTTGTTTGTCCTAGTGGGCTGGAATTTGTGTGTTGGTGTGAACGAAAACGACGACAAGGACAAGAAGGGCAATCAGGGATATAACCATAATCTCGACCCTCAAACACAACCACGCCCACAAAATCCAAAATCGCGAAGACGACCGCAACCATTGCAGTTTCAAAGACCAGGCAAAATAATAGCCAAGAACAATGCAACATTACCGCCTCCGCATCATACCCGACGACCATATCACCATCCACGATCTCGTCGGGCTTGCTGTTGCCTCTTCTGGATCTGGATCTGGTGCTTATCCGGTGGATTTGAGATTCGATATCGATGCGGGATGTGTGGCGACTATGGTGCCTAGGGTGAGATTGGCGGGATTGAAATGCGGGTGGGGGTGTGAGTGTGCGTGTGGAAGTGAACGTGGTGATACTGGTATGGGCAATTGGGACGAGGAATATGAGTATAAAGAAGATGCAAACGACGAGCGTGACTGCGAGTATAATCACCACACCATCAACACCAACAACGAATTCACCCGCGGGGACAATCCATTCACCATACCCATGCGTCTCGGTCTCCTCGTCCTCCTCTTCCTTTTACTCATTCCATCTACAATGCACGGAATAGGCAGCGTGGTGCTGGGTAGGGTGTCAGAGGCGCGAGATATGCAGATGAGGGGGTTTGTCGGCGGCGGAGCTGTTGTGGGTGATTTCGCGGGGAAGAGGGGAGGGGCATGGAGGGGAGGGAGGGTGGAATGGAAGAGTAGTTTGGATGGGGGAGATGGGGCTGAGGAGGGAGGTTAGGGATGGAGGTTAAGGAAGAGGGTATAGTGGGAGGAAATACTGGGGGAAGAGAATGGGAAGGGCAATGGAGCACGCAGCAGGGAAAAACGGGTTTGAAGTTGGGAATTCGACAAAATTATCGGAGAGAGGGGTGCAAGGGGAGAGAAGGGAATTTGGATTCAGAGGTTATTAATGACCTCATACAAGTACCCACCCCCCATATCGCCAGGTCTACAGATCAGCTTCGTGGATTTTGAATATATTTGGGACGCGTGTTGTGTATGCGGCGTGTACTAGAGTAGATGTTCATCTGTTAACGAGGGGTGAAGAGGAGATGGGGGCGGATGAAAGTGTAAACAGGATTGCAAAGAACGTAAACAAGCAAATCCTTTCTCTACTCTCACGCTCACAACTCAATGCTCACAAATCTCTCGTCTTGACGTCCTGTTCTATGCATGTCTTATGCGCCGGTGTTTCTCCAGTTTGTTTGAATTGTATTGTGCAAGTTGGCTAGATTGGCGATGGGTAGCGGTTGAGGTACCTGGCGGGATGATATTTTTTTTGTTTTCTGATCGCGGCCCTTTTCTTTTGTTGGTTTGTTGGATATACCCACACGCCTCATGCTTCACTTACTAGCCATGGTGTCTCGTCTTTCTCTTGGCTTAGGTCCTGGCATGCTATACCATAGACTCTATGGTATAGTATGGTCTACGTAGGCCAAGCTAGCATGCATGCCCACAGGGGTTACGGGACAAGGCTCGAGTAAACACAAAAACACAATGGAGGTTGGCATCTCTGGTGCTATAGGGCTGGTAGGTAGGGCCATGACCATGGTCCACGATGCGTTTTGAAATGAATGATTATTATTAGCACGCTTCATTGTCATTGGGCTATAGCTCCGTCTGCGGTGATATAGAGACTTCGTACCAGACAAAGTATATTTGCTTGTTGCTATTGTGGCGCTAGTGATATATCTTCGGTTGGATATGTCATCTTGGCCAGTCTCGATGGCGGTGAACAGTCACAGCGGCAGCACATACTCACTGACTGACTGCCATGTCGTACTCGTGCAGGGAGAGGCCTAATGAAATTGTGAACGAGTGCGCTCGAATCAATTCCACTCTGGGACAATGCAAAGTCCAAGCAACGGCCTGTAGAGTATACGATGGATTGAATGGTCGACGCAACGGCCACAAGCCCTTCCAATCAGGAGGCCACAACAGGTCGAGGAAGGGCACCCGTCCTACGACTACAAATCGCCCGGTGGAAGAGAAGCACCGAGATTCCTCCATTGAGGCAATTGTCCAGAATTGCGAAAATAAAGATTCCGGCTATGAGGCTAGCATCGACTTACGCATGGTCGATCAACACTGTTTGGGAGGGATGAAACACGTTATGACGGTTATGACGTAGCGCACGGCCACGGTCCACTCTTTCGGCACATCTCTCCTCCACCGCCACCATGAAACCTCCGCCCCCCCACGGCCCCCTTCTCATACTACGTCTCTCTGGCATTTGCTTCGCTTTCATACTACCTGGCACTGGCCTGTGTTGGTTGTGAGATTTGTGTGCGCAAGGGATGCACAACACATGTCCATTTGCTGACATCTTACTCGCCGCACCCAGGTACTGGTGACGTGCTCAATACTATCCAACACTTCATAGAGTACGAAGCAAAGCACTACTCTACTCTACTACGACTACGGAGTCATCTGGGTACCACAGTACTAGAGTACGACATGCCAGTCATGACAACAGGCGATCTTCAATGCCCACAATTCACGTCAAGGCATTGATCGCCCACGGCGTCCGACCGTCCGCGCACCTCTGCCTACAATACCTAACCCATTCATGAAGATCGCTCCGGCTACACTCTGCCCTGCTGTGCTGAAGAACAGGCCGACGTCCTTCTCTCTCTCTCTCTCCCTGCCCCCTCGCCAACCCCATCTGCCCACATCGTGTGCTTCATAAGCCTCTTGCCTCGTGTTGGAACCTTCTTTTGCGTACTACTGCCACGCTCACCCCCGCCTTACCCAACTGACGACGCGGCCTCCGACTTCCGAATGGCCGAAGCATTGATTCCACACTCCCAACCGATACTTCTCTCAACCGATACTTAGCAAACGCATGCTGGCTTTCATTTGAACTCTGCCTGCCCGACCCTCTTTTCTCCTTTACTTCTCCACCATCACGCCGCCTCCCTTGGGCGTTTTCATGGCAGGCCTGGTGCTGTGCCATATACGTTAACAAAACTCGACATGCCCCACCGCGCCTTCATTGGCCGGCTAGTCTTCTGCGCCATTTTCTCCGTCTCACTCGTCAACATCTTTACTACCGTCACCTCTGCATCCTACTTTCACCGCCAAAACTCACTTCGTGGATCGGCGCACCGACATCATACCGAACAGGAGCTCGTTTGTCCTCATTCTAAGCTTGCAGATGATATACTCGTTGTCCTCCGTACCGGAGCGACCGAGTCCCTCGAAAAGGTCCCAGTACACTTTCGCACAACGTTACGATGTGTACCGCACTTTACCATTGTTTCAGACATGGAGGAACAGATAGAGGGGCATACTGTTCACAACATACTCAGGAATGTGAGCGAGGAAGTCAAGAAAACTCATGATGATTTCAAGCTGTACAACCATCTACAAAAGCATGGACGTTCGGGCCTTCCCCACCAACCTGTTCTCACCTCCCTCTCTGGCTCCTCAAAGGGTGACTATATGCAGACCGATAAGCCTGGATGGGCCCTCGACAAGTGGAAATTCCTCCCCATGATCGACCATGCCTTGAAAACGAAGCCGGATGCCAAATGGTTCGTCTTCACGGAACCAGACACTTATTTCGATTATCACAACCTCCTCACTTACCTTGCCACTTTTGACGAAACAAAAGACTACTACATTGGCAAACATCTTTTCATCAACAACATTGCTTTCGCATACGGCGGCGCCGGCTTCGCCCTCTCTGCACCGGCCATGCGCAAGATTGCTACACACCGCCGCACCCGCATCTCTGAATACGAAACCTTCACGCGTGATCACTGGGTTGGCGAATGTGCCCTAGGAAAAGTCGCAGAAGACGTAAAAATCCCATTGCACCGCGCCTTTCCCCATTTCCAAAGCGACTCCCCGGCGACCCTGGACCCAACCACCGAGAAGATCGACCGCAACGTCTGGTGCTACCCCGCAATCACCTACCATCACGTTTCTCCAGCCGAAATCACCGAACTCTGGGACTTTGAACAGCAGTGGTACGCACGTCACGACATCGTGCTGCGCCACCGGGACATCTTCATGCATCTTGTGCGGCCGAAACTCGGGCCCGAAGTCAAGAGCTGGGACAACATGGCCGACGAAAAGGAATACAATGCGCACGACCACAGCAGCTCGACCAACGCCCTCGAGCGCGACGCGTGGAAGTCCTTTGCACATTGTCGCGCCTTGTGCGAGTCTCAGGAGCACTGTTTGCAGTTTACTTTTGACGCGGGGAGCTGCGGTGTTAGTCGCACATTTCGCCTTGGCTATGCGCGGCCGGGAGAGAGGATACAGAGTGGATGGATGCTGGATCGGGTGGATGATCAGTTTAGGGGCTTGGAGGATAAGTGTGGGATTAGGGATTGGTTTTCGCCCGAGGAGGATGCGAGGAACGAGCTGAAGATGCGGAGGAGGCGGGCTCTTTGAGGACAGAGTGAGTGAGCGAGCGAGAAAGAAGCAAGACATGGAAATCTGACATCAGTATGCATTGCACGGACAGAGCGGCATTGGGTTCACGGCGTTTTTTCTTGACCTTTCAGGTGGGAGGGTTCTTGCCATTTTTCATTTGAATATTCTCTTTTGCATACATATGCTTTGATACCCCCGTCCCCTGAAACCCACTCGCTAGACTTTTTTCATACATATATTTTGTACAAGCGGAACCTATCGTAAAAGCCTCATGGTGCACGCATACGAGAGAGGATGGAGGCAAAAGAAGAGATGAGAATACACAAGAGATGCATTTTAATTATTACTTTTCGCTTCAGAGTAGACACTGTAATGAAAACATGGGATCACAATGACGTTGGCACTGTACGTGTCGGTGATGTGAAGGGTTGAAGCCATTGTGAAGTGTATACTTCGCAGAAAGGCCAAGGGGCTGACCTGCTAGGCTCCTTGCCATCATGCTTATACTGACTTTGTGCAAGCTGAGATATCCACAACATCATCACTAAGCCAACCTCCAAGCTATAAAAACCCAAGATGCCCATCCAGTTGTAGCAGCATCCGCGTGCATAACACGGAGACACTTCTTCCGAAATGCTTGGAAACCCACACCACTTGTTTGATACAAAACATTATTCCCTTTTTTTCTTTTTTGCCTCGCTGGATTGCGTGATGCTGAAACAGAGCATGCGCCGTCAGATGCGGTTACACGGTTTGCCGGGCTTGAAACGTTCATGAGTGGTGGTTGGGGGGTGGTGCTGGTGGATTGAGAAACAGCGGGCTCCAGGGGGAGATGTCATGTTATGTGTTGTATGGTGTGGCATTGAAGAATCGTTGTTTTGCGGTTTGGTTTTGTGCTTGGTTTTTGTTGGTGTGGGGTATGGAGGTGTTTGTGTAGTGTTTGCACCTACATGGTCCTGCCGAGTGAAGTGCATTTTTGCACCCTTTGTAATGCAGCGTATCAATTAAACGTACGTTCGGACGACAGCGCTTTGAGAGGAAAAATGGGTTGAATATGTGGCTGGCAACATTGAGCAAGATGTTCACACGCGGCGTTCCCAAAGTGTGTTGGTCTGACAAATCACTTCTGACATTCCAGTTGATGTTCATTCTCAACGTTCTTCTCGCATGGGGGATATATGTGCAAATGTACAAACGTCAAGCAAACTTAGCTAATCGCCTTTGTGCGCCCAACACCGATCATTATACTATACAGAGTCGTAATGTTTCCCTTGGCCGTTGAAACGATATCACTAGTTCACTCACTGGTCACATGTCATGACTGTACCCAGCTTATAGACTTCCAAATCGTGTTGGCTCGGCAGTCTGCCGTGGCTCTCCATGTCATGCAAGACGGAAGGGAATCTTCCCATATCCACTGGCCCTCCTATCAGGTGACTTGCAACTTCCTCAACCTTTGCTGCTAGAATTTGCCACGCACGACCGTGGCCTCGCGAACCAACGCAGCGTTCATGCATGATGCAAGATCGGCAGGTATACGCCTTCAAAAATGCATGGCACATCTCGTGTAAGATTGTCCCAATCCGGTTCCTCAGTCGCAAATCCAGGTCTTCGGGTTTGCTGTTGTGTCGGTATAGTTTTGGGTGTAGGAAGAGTTGGGTACCGATGATTGGGTTGAAGTAGCTTACGCCAAAACAGTTTTTTTTGTGCTCTGGGAGCCATGAGAATCCAGTCGATAACGATGAGCGATGAGGAGGGACAGCGCCAAAGAAGAATACTTTGTTGAGCTGTCGGAATACATGTCCCAACTGCGCATTAGATATGTGAGACCGTAAATCGGGTGCCACCAGGTTTGGTCTCCAGACGCGTAGCAAGCTCGTCAATTGCGATACACTTGGCATATCCTTCAAGCGTGAGGGATGAAGATAGGTGTAATCGAGCCATGCAATGTGGTGTCTCACAAGTCGCATTGCTTCGTAGTCGCCATAGAGTTTGAGAGTCAACGTTGGATGTGGAGTACTGTGCGGTGTCACGCGGGAAAAGCTTGGTGAGCGGATTTTTCGCCCTTCATTCATAGGCCGTACATGTCCATGGGAAGCCTCACTCTGGATTCGATATGATTTCGGGGCGCATTCGTCGCAGTCACATGAAGGCGCTGCTTCTCCAACCCATGCTTGTAGTTCACTCAAACTGGAGGGTAGCTTCACGGAGCCTGCATGATCGGGAGATTGTACACGTCCAAGGATACGATCCTCGATGAACCGCAACTTCGGATCGATGGTGAACAGCGGTTCCAAAAAGGGAAGAAAGTTATGGAGAAGGGTTGATCCACGGCAGACTCTCTGGTGGTCGACGTCCTGCTTCTCAGACTGTTTCCGGGTCTTGAATATCAACCGTGCAATTCGCCGAACAGGATGAAGACGCCGTTTCCTTTTGTCTTGTCCTGTTCCCATATGTTCGCTCATGAGTATCTTGAATGAGATATGACGAAATCAGCAATGGCAATGCGGAAGAAGATATCATGGTAAGTGTCGTAGCATCGGAGTCACCGATGCTGGGATAACCGTTAGAAATCGACCCCGGATTGTGAGGCGGTGAGTTCCAAGGGGCGCGATGAGCATCAAGGATTACTCGCAAGAAAGCCAGAGCACAGTGCACGGACTATCAGGCCATCTGACTCTGAGCACCGCCAAAAGGGGCATCTTCGGAGCATCTTCAAAGAGTTTTTGGGCGATAAAAACGTTGGTACCTGTTCACTACTGGTTCTCGGCGAGTGTGGAGTTTTACCTATTGTACAAGTAGGTAGCCCCAAGATTCTGGATCATTGCTCCAAGTTGACCATGACATGTCCATGGAGCGGATAACAGCCTCCAAAGCCACGATTAGCAAAGCAAAGTGTAACGACCACCTTGCCAACTGAGCTCAGCAAATCCATGGACCTTGTTCGGTACAAGCGACCATAAGGGGTTTGAAACGGGAACGCACGTGTCCCGGAACGGCGGCATGTTTGCCGAGGTTGGTTTGCGGCCAGGGAAGAATTCGGTCCGTTTCGTGACCCTGAACAGAGGAAGACGGTGATGCGAGTCATCAATGAAAGGAGAAGACTTTCAAGATAAGCGACTAATGGCTCCGAGAGTCGCGATCTCTCGTCCCCTGAGCGTTGATTTCATTGATCGAGCTGCGTGGAGTTGGGCAGATACCGGTAGACCAAATCACTGGTGTTGTACAAGCCTGGGTTGCGTACTGGTTATCTCGGCTAGTTTGAGGATCACGTTACTTGTCTTGTGCCATCAAAATAGCCGGGAAGTAGCAGTGGCAAATCACATGATACTCAAACTACCCGAGCGCATGAGTACCAGTAACATCCGAAGGCCTGCTGGACTTGTGCTAGCACTAATTTGACACAGCTGGACCCTTTTCTACCGGTACCGGTACAACTACCAACCCTGAGTGTGATTACCGGTACCAGCTCGCTTGACGAACCCGACCCAGAGACTAAAGACACCCGTTCCCTTAATGAACAGTGCTATCATCGCTAAGTTAACTACAGGCGCATTTGATAGATAGTGTTATACCCTATCCTGAACGACTACCTCTCATTATCGAAGCACCTCAACTTTTCCGACCACACAAACGTATGTTTTCACAATTCACTTGCCTTTCTAGAAGTTCGATGGCCACAGAAACTATGAGATGAACTCTAGTGCTGGAATTGATCTAGGTCTTTAACACGCCTAACCATCGATTATGTTGACGGTTAATAGAAACAATCAGTATGGACTCAGCGTAATGAGAATCATATGAATTTCTTTTTGTCATTTTAGTGGGAGCTATAGAGTCTGGAGTATTTGGCTTGGATGAGACGTTGAGGTCGACTTGGAACGCTCTCGTCAATTGCTGCTGTTCACGATTTGCTGCACAAGATTCGACAGAAGTATATCGCGACCTGGACGAATAACGTTTCCTCAGAGCCCACTAGACGGTACCCCCCAAGAGAAAGGCTGATTGTCTTCGCCACAATAAATTAGTCGTCTTCGCCCTTCTACCTTAAGTATAATTAGGGTATTGATTTCTATCCTTAGCAACAGTTTTTCACGCTACATACTGCTTGATGAAAGTGCGATGGATTCCTGAAGTATACTTGCTGATCATCAGCAAAAATTTGCAAACTTATTCTAATATCCAGAATTCAGAGCAATTAATATGTCTTGGCGTATATTTCGTTCTCGAGGTATCTTCTACTTCGTGATAATGAATTCGTCCCTCTTTTTGTCTCAAGAGGGAAAAAACGCCAAGCCATATTGATTGTTCTCAAGCCTTCTAGCAACGCTTTTGCGTGTTGTTCTATCGGCACAAAAGCGACATTAGCCATGGTAAAACTCGTCCATATAAGTGCTCCGGTTAAGGGACACTCGATGATGCTGACATACGCATGGATAGTATGTTATAACCAGGATGCCTACAGTGCTGGAAGACGTTGGCGTTGCACTACCACATTTATTCCCGTTCCGCGGGCAAAATACTTCTGATTCTCACGGAAAATCAGTTCACTCGAAGTGCAGAATAGCGACTGTGTACTGGGTAAAATAAGCGTCTGCTTAGAGGAGATTGTAAGATAGCCAGCCTAGACTCAGAAAGTAATACTCTATTTTGAGATTGTATAGAACCCAGGCGACGTCAGCCTGTTAGAAAGAGCCTGTCCATGTTTGGGATGTGTGTGAGTAGACCTGTGAAACTGCGGTCTCCTCCGTTTGTCAAATCGCGAAAGCTTGGCATCGAAACCTACCTACCGCCTGGTGCCTGCCATTACCTCTGCGCTCTAAAGCCTAGTCGCCACTCTCACTCACAACAGCAGCAGCGAAATTGGTCATCGGATCAGCCTTGAGTAAGTACACAGGAAATGAGACTTTTCGCAATCCTGGCAATCGTGCTGGCCGTGATCAATCATGTCTATGGCCGGGCTATTAGCACGACTGCCTCCTGTTATTTCTATATCAGCCATAGTGCTTACCCTGTATCAGCCATGGTGACTGCCTACCAACATTGGCGACTCCCCTATCCCGGGTTGTCTGGGAGACACCCATTTGGGACTAGTGGGGATATCTATATCTAGCCACCTTGGCTTCTCGTCTATAAATTCTTTAATTAATACTTTTTATTACATTAGGTTATAAGCCTAGCTTATCTACTAGCATACTTAGCTTTATTTACTAGTACCTACTTGTATTAATTACTCTTTATTAGCTTCTACTACTTTAGCTACTGTATTACTATAACACTACACTGCTAACGTGGCTTCTTACCTAAACCTATTTAGCTCGTTACCTACTTACTCTAGCTCTTTAGGATTAGCTTTACTAGAGGTTACAGCTGCCCTATACCTAGAGCTTCCTTTAATAACCCCTCTCCTATAGTCTATACCTGCGTTACCCCCTAGGCATACTATAGCTACTAAACCTGCATTTAACTTTCGCCTAGACCCTTCCTTGTTACCTAAGCTAGGTTCCTAGGGTAAGAACTACCTAGAATAGAGGTTAGCCTAGACTATAGTGTTTAGATACGTAGGTATCTAGCCTATCCTGTTAGGGAAGAAGTTAAGACTACTGCTTCTATTAGAAGCTAAGGAATAGGATAAGGCTAATAATAAAGCATTAGTAATGCTCCTATCCTCTATTTATAATAATTTAATAATAAGTGTTGCTAGCTATAACACCTCTCTATAAGTATAGAAATATCTTATAAACAGGTTTAATAGAGACACAGGTAATATATCTATCTTACTCTTTTAGTTATTAATAAACCTTTGCTACTATAATAGAGATAACCTTAGAATTTATCTTAATAAGTTTTATTAATAATAGACACGTATAGCAAAGTAATACACTATATCTACTTAACTAGTAGCTATAGCTATACAGGCTATATTTAAATCTAATTAAGTTAAAGGTTCCTTCTTTCTTGCTACCTTGCCTAAGATAATAGACAACGTTATAGATAACCTCTCTACTAGGAATATTACTACATTCTAGGATATTAAACCTAAGATCCTAGATATCTTAGAAAAGCACTCCTTAGATATTAACTCTTTAGCTATATACGCAGCTAGATAATTAGTATATAAAAGGCTATTATACTTATTAAGTAAGCTGCTAGACGCTAATGCTACTAAGTTAATATATACTTAGTGCCAGAAACATAACTTGCCCTATATAGGTTACCTCTACCCTATATATGCCGCTCTTAAGAAGCATAAGGAGAAGGCCTAGACTAAGGATAAGATATCCTAGCCTACTAAATAATAGAAGGCATATAATGCTACTACTAATAATGCTAATAATTTAGACAATAATAGCTTAACTATAGTTATTAGCTACACTGTTTATTATATTAATCTTATAGAATCCTAACTATTATCCCTACTATTAATAATAAATGTAAATAGCAAACGCCTAAGAAAATTAGTAAGTACTTATACTACTATTAAAAAACTAACTATTACTAACCCACCTATATAGCTATTTAACACTAGTGCCTTAAAGTATATATTAGGTAGTGCAGATAACTTTATATTCCTTATTCCTAGAATAGGTACAATTACTATTGCTAGCAGTATTAAATTACCTATATAAGGTAGCAGGATAGTTAGATTATAATATAGACTCCCTAATAGATCTACTAAGGTAGCTAAACTAATAAACACGCTTTATAGCACTAAACTTTTTAGTACTTAGCTATTCTTATAGACGTATATTCGCTACCTAGATTTTAAGCTCTACGCTAAAAAGAATAACCTCTACCTATTATAATATAGCATATACACACTATAGGCTAGACACGTTAATAGTCTTATTTAAATACAGATAGAAGCTCTACTATATCTACCTATAAATACGCTGCTTATAAGCATATCCTCCTATATTAAGCCTCTAATAGCAACTTCCTATATAGCACTAAGCCCTTTACTAACGTCTACCTCCTAATCTCTAACACACAGTTACACATTTATAACATAGATAATAGGGATAGTAGTAGTAACAAAAGTAAAGGATACATAATTTAGGTTATATTAGGAATTCTATAAGGCTATAGGACACCTAAATATACTAAACCTATTATAGGTGTTCGCTAATAGTAAATTAGTACTACCTTAACTAGAAAACTTTTTATATACTATATACTAATAATCTAAATCTATATATTAAGTGCTATCTTCTAGGGAATCCCTAATTACTAAGCTACTTAAACTTATTTATTCTAACTTGTCTAGGAAAATGCCTACTAAAAGTATTAGTGGTTCCTAGTACTATATCTCTTTTATAGACAACTATATAAGATATTTATAGATTTGCTTCCTAAAACTTAAAGTAGACGCCCTACAAGCTATTAAGGACTTTATTACCTATACTAATACCTAATTCTACCCTAAAAGCTCTAACTTATAATTATTAGTGGTTAAGAGGTTTAAATTAGATAATAGAGGGGAGTATATTAGCTAGGACCTATAGAAGTTTTTTAAATATCTTAGAATTGTTTATTAGCTAGTGCTACTATATTACTATAAGATAAATAGGATTCCTAAGTAATTCAATTGCTCTATTTTCTAAATCGCTAGAACTATAATCCCTTTAGATAACCTTCTATTCCTGTGGGCTAAAGCAATAGTCCTAGTAAACTTTATTAAAAATATTGCGCTATATTCTATAGATAAACTACTTTGCTCCCTATATAAATAGCTCTTTAGGAAGAAGCCCTCTATTTAACGCCTATATCTATTTAGCATCTAAGCTTACGTTTATATTCCTATAGAGGCCTAAAAACCTAGCATAAAACTCCTACACTGCGCTAAGCGATATATCTTTATTAGGTATAGCTAGAGCACTTAGACAAGCTGTCTCTATATACTAGAACGCGCTGTTATTATAGAATTATAGGACGTGTTATTTGCCCTGTTTATTCTAAAGCCCTAGAACTTCTGCCCTATCCTAGAGGATAGGATTTATAGTGCTAGGGAATATCCCTCCTAGAATAAAAATATTATAGTACTATAGCTAAAGGAATTGCTATCTATATTGCCTCCTATTAAAATTCTTAATAAGATAATAGGGGGACAGGATAACATTTTAACCGCTCCCTAAACTCTAGGTCTAAGATTAAGAGCAATTAATATATTTAATAACCTTCTTAGCACTCTAGAACGCATCTCTACACTACTACGACATAAGACATAGATAGGTAGCCCTACTCCTTGCCTTAGGAAGAATGTTAACCACGAGAATTAGAAGAATCTATAGCCTTAGGATGTATTACTATAGACCCTAATAGCAATTACACGTATTAGCTACTAGACTAAAAAGCTATTGCGATACTAAGGCTATAATATAATAGTAGGCTTATTCTTAACTACCCTAAATAAGGATGCTATAGCTAATATATCTATCTTCTCTATAGCATTTACTATATTATAGTACACAGTTAACACCCCACAAATATATATAGAGGTAGTTAGCCTATTATTTACTCTCCTATAGTAGCTAGCTATAGACAAGGAAATCGCTAACTATAAATATAATAGCACATAGGAGATTACGCCACCCTACTAGATACCTTAAGGTACAAAGCTTATAGGCACTAGGTAGGTATTTAATATAAAGCAAAATAAGTTAGGTAAAATTATTAAGAGAAAAGCTAGACTAGTAGTATAAGGATTTTTATAGAGGCTAGGATTTAACTATAATAATATATATTTACTAGTAGTTAGATATAATAGCCTTCGTATCCTACTACTGCTCTTTATTGTCTATAGCTAGAAACTTTGCTAGGTTAATTTTAACGCTGCCTACCTTAATAGGTATCTTAAACACAAGATCTATTACTAACTACTACTAGGACTCTAAGTCCTAGACAAAGCTACACTTTATCTCCGCAAAACTCTATATAGTCTTAAGCAATCTAGCAGAGAATAGTATATAGTACTGTTAGAATAGCTAAAGAGTTAGGGCTTTGTATAATCTAACTTTAACCCTTGTGTGTTTATTTTAGAGCACCTAGTATTAGGGATCTATATAGATAATATCCTTATAGCTAGAACAAACGCACAGATTTAGTCTATGCTTACCCTTACTACCGCTAGATTTTAATTTCGCGATATAGGCAAACCTAAGATACTTATAGGTTTAGAAATAGACATTTATCTAAATAGTTAAAGCATCTAGCTTTATTAGAGGATATATATTAAAGCAGTGCTTTAGCAATATAATATAGTAGACTATAATAGTTAATATACGCCTATTAACCTAAGTTTATTCCTACTATAAACTCTATTAGACACCCTAGTTAATAAGGATAGGTAGAAGAAGTTCTAATCTATTATTAGTTCTATTAACTTTATAGCAGTTATAAGTTAACTAGATCTAGCATACACTATTAGGCTTCTTAGCTCCTACAACGCAAATCCTTTAGAGTTATACTTAAAATTAGCGTTTTAGGTATTGCAATATATCTAGGCAATATCTAACTATTACCTTAATATTACTATCTATCTAATATACTAAAACCTAGCTATAATAATAATATATTCAGACGCTTTATATGTATCTAACCTAGACACTAGCAAATCCTTCTCTAGCTATATCCTAAAGATTAATAGCTCTATTATCTCCTAGTCCTCTAAGAGATAGAGCTATGTGGCTAAAAGCACCTATAAGGCAGAATATATAGCCGCGTTATATGCTACTTCCTACCTTATCTAGGCTTGCTATGCTATTTCTAAACTCCTAGATACCCTAATATGCTATCTATTAGTTAATAATAAGCTAGCTATATTACTTATTTAAGATTAGAAACTTATATTGTAATCTAAATATATCTATATTTATTACTATTTTATCTAAGAGTAATACCTAGCTAATAATTACACTATCTAACATGTTATATTAGTAGAGAACCTGGCTAATATATATATAAAAGCTCTGCCACGCCTAATATTAGAGAAACTTGATTAGCTTATCTTAGAGCTTACTATCTAATATAGATATTTTCTTTGTATATTTATAATTACTATAGATTTAGGGGACTGTTATTTCTATATTAGCTATAGTGCTTACCCTGTATCAGCTATAGTAACTGCCTACCAACATTGGCGACTCCCCTATCCCGGGTTGTCTGGGAGACACCTATTTGGGACTAGTGGGGATATCTATATCTAGCCACCTTGGCTTCTCGTCCATAAATTCTTCAATCAATACTTTTCATCACATCACCTCCATCCACCAGCTCAGCATCAGAGGTGTCAATCGGCTTTTTGGCACAGTCAACGATGAACATGCTCAACATCTCACCCCATACATCGAAATTGTATTGCTAGAGCGCGGTCTTTCAAACGGGTTCCCCAATCCCCTGCAAGTTGCTGGAGATTGGGACCCCAACGATCCCGCCTCACCCGACCAGCTTGAAAAGTATGCCAAGAAAGGTGCCTTTTTGCGTTGTTTGCTCGACGGGACAGATGCAGCGGCGGGTAAGGCGTGGGATCCATTAGGCCGTACACCGGGATCTGCGAGCAGTCAATGGAAGGGCACGTTGGAGAGTATGTCACTTGCGTTACCCTCTACATTGATCCTGTCCTTGTTGGTTATATGGGTAGTGAAAAATTGACCACATTATAGATGAGCTTCAAACATGGTACTGGAAATCTGCTAGTGTCAATCAGGCAGAGCAATGTCATTATGGCAGTCCATCTGATATCGGTGTTGCCCTGGAAGGGTTGGGCCTGAATATCCATCCAACCACCGATGGTGGGCACAACATCTGCTACACAGTCGAGCATTTCATTGAAGGCCAGGAGGATGATGATGGAGACGAGGTGCCTCCGGAGGATCAGCATTACACTGTTGCGGGGAAGGAGTATAAGGTATGATCACAACATTCCTACTGCTATACACCCAACGAGGAGTTGCTTCAATCGATAGAATCTCAGACTGATGATAAAAGGCAACCGGTGCATTCTACACATTTGGCGTCAATCGTGTCGGCGGTGGTGAGTCTCCCATTGTATCTATATCTTCTCAACGTCCAAGAAATTAAAGTACTCCAGCGATCGTTGCCAAGAATCTCGAGTCACCAACTTTCGCTGCTGAGTTCCACTGGGAATACAAACCCAGCCTCGATGAGCTTCCTGCAATTCGTCATGGCTCAGATATAATGCTTGCGTACTGGCTCCGTGACAATCCCAACGCGCGGAACCTACGATACTACTTTGCCAGTGGCATTGTCAACGAGGACACACTCCCATTGATTTGCAGTGTTATCAAGAGTAAGGGTCATCAGGGTGATCCACCATCTTGGCCGGGCGTTCAGCTTAATAAGGGAGAACATGAGTTCGATATGTTGCTAGGTAAGTTTTCAGATTTATCAACACGTAATCACTGGCAATTAGTGGCTTGCGAGCTGCTTACCCGGTACCGCAACTAAAGAGGATGCGACTGACCACTCACACAGGTTCACCAATTGGCGCAACGCTGGCCTTCATGCTAATCCAGCACAAGGCTGAGATAGGTATCAAACACGTCACCGATATTGTCATCTTCAGTACAAAGCTTGGTGCGGAGGGCTTTGTACAGGTACACATGGTGTTTAAGGTTGCTGATGTTGATAACCCATTTGATGTGGGCATTGCCACTCGCAGCGAGGATAAGCAGTACGCGGCCGGGAACTTGGACAAATTAGATGGATACGACAACGGCGTAAGGACACATGTGTTGTTTGAGGACTAGGAGTCTGGTCCAATGGTGAGAAAGTAAGCCAAACCGATGAGGTTATTGAGGGAACGGTGTTACGATGGCACTCTCCACTTCACACTTGTAGACATCTGGCCTTTGTGATGAGAAGGCTACCTTGACAATCGAAGAAGCATTGTTCATCCATAATACGCTACAAACTCTGCTATATGACTTCTCTAGTATCAGAACTCGTCATTATGTGCGCATCTTGAGCAAGCTACTATCGTGTTTCGTACATTATAGGTCGTTGATACCACTTTGTCATTACTTCCCAAATGATACTTCCACATGTAGTACAAAGACGCACGCGACGATATATATTGATGACCATCCCAAGCATTGCAATTTGTTATCGTTGGCGAGGATGTAGTCCGCAATGGTAAGGTCTGGGTATAAAAGTCATGTGTTGGAGGATTTATCAGATGGTATCAAAGTCTGCAAATATGCTTGATTAGAGACCGTTCATTCCGACCTTGAATTTTTAGACTCAGTTTTAACACGATTCTTTCGTTGATTCAGCATGATCTGATAGATGGCCTGTTCAAAAAGTTGGTCGCATTGAATGTCTTAGGACATGTCTAAGGAAATTTTTGTTGAAGTTGGAATCGTATGAGAATTCCAAGTTTGCCAATGGCATTGGAAAAAGCTCGATACATACCAGGTAGTTTAAGCTAACCAAAACATCTCATACCGGTAAGAAAAATACCAGCTAAACAGGAGGAGAGATGAAGACCGTAGGCGCAGCCTGGACCCCTGCGTAAGACGCCACCAAGAGATTTCAGCTGCGTTGACCCGATTTGCATTTTCTTGCGCCAGAAACAGATGAACTCATATTAACAAGCTCCAAACGTACAAGTAATCAAAGGTGCCTGCCTGATTAGTGGCAGTCATCCTCCTTGTCTTTCACACACTCTCCGTCTGACCATTACACCCCAATCACAGATGCAGCCTAGGCACTTGGATTAAATTCCTCCTTGTTAATTTGAGTCACCGCTTGCGCATGATACTGTCTAAGCACAATGCCTCTGCGATGCCTCTGTATAGCCTACACAGCATCTCCATCACACCCTCTTTCTTCGCCGGTCTCCGTCACCGTCGCTCCTGCCATTTTCAGCCGTGCGACTTAACCAAACACGCTCACTCTGGGGTCATGTGGGCAAGTCAGACTCGAGAGCTGTACACGACGTCACGTGCTAGTCTTCAGGTCTTCACCTCCAAAGATGTCCTTGTACATGGACTTTGGCCATTGGTGAGTGGTGAGCAAGAGGAGCTGGCAATAGTCGCCTCATTGGCGACACGGTAAGATAACTTTCGCGAGTGGCACGTAGATTCTATTGGAAGACGCCGTCGTCAATCTCCAGTGCAGTGTTCTTATGTCACGTGCAGTGTCCATGAGATGTCAACGTCAGGGATTTGCAAACGACAAACGCAATTTGCTGCCGGATTGTGCCCTCATCCCGCACACAAGCGCAGATTTGATTGCGAGTTGCCTTCATTGTCTCCAAAGCTGGCAAATTTACGGCCACTGTCACTTATAACGGTGTTCTGAGTGCATCAACCCACTCACACTCTCTCACTTCACAAAAGCACTCCAACACGCGGACTCTCTCGCACACCACACAATCAATCCCAATCACCAGCTTACTCCTGTAATCATGCTTTTCCTCTACATCCTCGGCCATCTCTTCCTCGCTGTTTCTGGCCTGGCCATCAATCCTACACCACTGGACTCTACCTTTTCGGTTTCAACTATCAGCATCAACAACACTCCTGTCGTCTCCGCAATTCGACCGGAAGTGTCTCCCAAACATGGCCGAATGCACGACCATCGTATGAAAACCAGCGTTCCTTCCTACTCGTCTACAGATCCTTCACTGGTTTCCGTAAAAGCTTGGGATCCGAACAGGGTTGCCACTAACGAGCAACTCGCACATTTTGCAACCAAAGGCTCCGCTCTACGGTGCTTAATGGAGGCGACAGACGCTGAGGCAGGGAGGTCGTGGCCTGACCCTTTGGGACGCACACCGTATTCCGCCAGTAGTGCGTGGAAGGGAACACTGGAGAGTATGCGATTCATGTCCTTCTGTCTTGACACTTTTCTTTGTTTCCCATTCCCTCTATATCCCACTTCTTCCATCTGACTAACTGTTTCCTTTACCAGATGAGCTCCAAACCTGGTTCTGGCACGAAGGGTTCTTCGACCAAGACAACTGTTTCTTCGGCGACGATGACCCAGATAATTCAATCCTCGAGCGCGCGCACATTCAAACGGCGTTGGAATACCTTGGCCTGAGCATTTTACCGGCGGCAAGGGGCGGCGACAATATTTGTTACAGTGTCGAGCACTTTGACGAGGATGCCGAGGATGAAGACGGCGATGAGGTGGAGTTTGAAAACCAGGAGTATGTGGCTGATGGTGAGGTTAGACAGGTATGTTCTGGATCGTTTTGGATCACGGCTTGCACATGTTGCGTCCCCTTGTGTCTGCGGTCAGTCGATTAAGGCACTTCACCTTGCTATATCTTTGCTCTCAATCCCAAATCCCCTCCACACCACATCCACCGTAGACCAAACTGACTCCGCGCTCCCCAACAGGCAACAGGCGCCCACTACCGCTTCGGCCTCAACCACCAAGGCGGCACGATCTATATCCAACAACTCCTTAACCCTTCATCCGCCGCAACCCTGTTCTGGGAAGATGACAGCCGGATTCCCGACGCGCTTCCCGCACTACGCCACGCCTCGGACATCATCCTTGCGTACTGGTTGCGCCAGAACCCCAATCCACAGGGCCTCAAATACTTCTTTGTAAATAATCTGATCAACGACGCTACGGTGCTACTGGTGGCGGCAATATTGAAGAAGAAGGGGTTCCAGCAGGTGCCGTATTGGCCAGGTGTTGTGCTAGATTGGAAGAGCGGGGAGGCTGCGGTTTTGATTGGTAAGTTACGTGTGAGCATGATTTTTGTCATGATGCATACAATCTTTGCACCAAAGTCGCTCGTGCTGAACTCTTTGTACCGGTACCTATGGTATGACTAACTAAGTCTCGCAAAATAACAGGTTCCCCGATCGGTGCAATCATCGCCTTCACGCTGATCCAGCACAAACTCGAACTCAACGACAAAAGAATCACTCAAGTGGTAATTTTCCGAGATGATAAGCAGAATAATGATCCGGAAATACAGCTCTTGTTCAAGATTGGGGACGTAGACATGTCAGTCGCGTCTAATGCTGAAGTAGATACTCTGATCAAAGGGCGAAATAGAGGCGTAGTCAGAGCCGTGGATGTGGCATTGGTAATTCGAGACGATCAGGTCCACGGCCTGTATGTGGATGTTATGAGAACTCATCTTTTGGGGTGGTAGGAATTTCGAACTGTCAGTAGAGCTAAACCAGCTTTCGCGGCGATGCCCATATCTCTCTCTTTTCGAATCACCTATCTGATTTCTTCAGATCATTCCAAATACGAAATCAGTGCTAAACCGACTTTCACGGCGACGCCTTTATCTCTCCATGGTCGAAACACCCATTTTTTTAAGATCATTTCAAATACGAAACTCATGCCCCGAAGCTCTATGCCATTACCAGGCTGTAGCGTTCCTGTTCAGATTTTATTAACCTAATGTTGCCGTGGACACAGTGAAACCCTATCGAAGACCCTTTTTCCATACTTATATACCACGATCGAATACAATATGCTCTACGATGGATTTCCTAGCGGACTCTCAAGATGTATCACTTTAGCTCTGGTGTCGAGGGTCCACTGGTCCACGAGTGGGAGATATAGACAACAGTGAATGTGACAGCCCGCAGGAACGACTACTGGCAATGTCATTGTTCAATGATGCTCAGCAACACACAACGCGCTAGGATTTGTTTGCTCCATTTGAGTGAAACGTGCTTTATCGGTCACTGTTCGCAGCTGCGAGACGAACGACGTGTGGAGACAATGCGTTTGTCTGAGCTGCGATGCGGTGACTTTCAAGTCCAGGCACAGTACCTTGCGATATAAATTCTCTAATTCTCTCCATCTCAACTGCAGAATCCAACTTGGGCACTCAACCACACTCTACTGAGTTCCAATAGCAAGTTACTTCACCATCATGCCTCAACCAGGCCTCCTATCAGACGCCATCGAAGGCGGAACACCGTGCCCTGAAGACCAAGATGGACTCTACGCCTTGATCCGCAGTCACAACGTACCATGCACCTGCCCCGATCATCAGAAGGACGCAAATTGTATACATCAGGGCTATCACGTTCGAATCTGCGTCCCCCAAGTAGGCGCAGTCGCACCTCTTACTCGCAAGGGACACGAAGCCATGCACCTCGTCCACGCCGCGATCCAATACTTCACTCGCACAGAGAAAGACATGGGTACCAGACAGAAGTCTGCCATTGAAGAGTTTCGCAACTTGTCACGGATGCGCCTGGGCTTCTGGTGCAACCTAAACGATGCACATAGAGCTCGATCCATCGAAGTCGAAGATATGGAGTCACTCCTCGAACTCTTCAATCACATCTTCTTCTTCGGAGCATTAGATGTACACTTTAAATGGATGAAGGACGGTGCCCATGACTTGGGTTCCTACGGCCACGCCAAGCGAGTCATCAAGCTCAATCCTACAGCTGTACGCGGCGAGATGCGGATGTCGGTTTTTGACTTTCGAATTGAAACTCTGCTGCATGAATGTGTGCACGCGCTGATTTTCCAGTTTGCATGTCCGTCGTGCGAGTCGTTCGATGTCAATGTTGACAATGCTGCGGGCCATGGCAGGGCTTACCAAGTACTGTACGGAGCAGTGAGCGAGGTCGCGCGAGTGTTACTCGGGGTCCTGGAGTATGCGCCCAGCTTTTCAGAGACCTTCTTGACACACTGGAATGAGGTTAGGCATTTGCCTAGTGTACATGACATGGAGACTTGGCCTGACTATCAGAAGCTTGCGTATATTATTCGGGATGTGAGGAACCGAAGGGTTCTCTTCTTTGATGCTGAGATGCCCCAACGCGAAATTCATGAGAAGATCCGAGTTTTTGTTGAGGAGGAGAACAAGAAAGACGATGCACGAATGAGGGCGATCGAGGATACCACGCCACCGGAGGAGCAAGTCACCCCATGGGACAAGAAACATATTGCCATACTGGGAGGATGTGTGATGCTGTACCTGGCTACACTGTACCTGGCATGGGTTCTGGTTACCTAGTGGCCCCTCTAGCTGCTCGGTTGAATTGATAATGCTCGCCATCATGCTTGGCCTGGATGATCAGCAGACAAAGGACTATACGGAACGACGAGAAGCAACGCACGATGACAATGAGGATGTCAATTTGGTGGTTGATCGTGTATAGAAAGTCTATTACGAATGTTTATATTAGGCGTTGCATAGCATATACCTACTCAGTTGCTGAATTCACTCCTCCCCTTATTGTGCTGACTATATTATAACTGTGGCTGGTCCAGCATAGGTAACAAATAAGAACATTCATACATGATATAACCAGACGCAAGGAAATCCATACCTCCGTGATGATTACTGCAGCAAATGTGCGACCATGTCAAGTATAAAATTCAACCTGAAATCGAGTCGTCAAGTCTGCGCAGGCGCTAGGCCTATTATGGACACCTTGAGTCCCACTCAAAGTTGAAGTAGGGTATTTAGTGTAAAAGCCGCTGTACAAACGTTCTCGTAGGTAACAAATAGTAGGTAACAGGAAAGATGGGATGTCAATGTGATAAGTAAGTTCGCTGTGAGGGACATATGCCATGGGTGGTAGGAATACAGCAATGGTCTCGTTTTGCTACTGCTACCAGTACGGACGATGAGTTACTCTGCACGCGACGTTGTGTTGAACAAAGTGAATCTGAGTTGTGTAAGTTTTTTGCAAGAATTGCGCAGAAACTTAACATGAGTTGGTGCCGAGAATGTTTGCGCGCAAAGATGCAAGAAAATATCGGGAATCACCCATGTTCTCTCGATAGTTAGAACAGGAGCATTATCTTCACTCTCAGTCACAACCATCTTTCTCACAAGAATGCTAGGTACCCCCTCTCACTACACCGCGTTCACCTTCCCAGCCAAGAAACACCTCCGCAGTACCCCTCCACACACGACAAGGTGCAAGCTGCAACCCCTACCAACGCGGTCGAACATGTCGGCAAGGAGTCTGGGGCCTGGATGACCCTGATCCTTCTGATTCGCGAGACCCGTGGCTCGGTAAGTTTACTGTTGCTAGCACAATGCGTCCAATCGTGAGGGCAGTGGAGCCCTGGCCGTGGGGGATGTTTCATCATGTGGTGTTCGAGAATCATGCATGCTGGGGAGGGGCTGAAGGGGATTGCGGATAACGCCTTGCAGGTGGATACATGTAGGTACAGTAGAGTGGGTACAGTACATGCATAGTATAATGCTACCTGTGTATACAAGGGACAAGGAGTAAGGGGTTAGCTGCCATTTCTGCAAAAACCATTTACTTTAAGCCACAACGTCTGTTCCCGGGCGTGTCTTGGGATCAGAGGAGCGTCGCGCACAATAGTGTCGCGCATTGCGTGGATGGAGCAGTGTGCAGGCATCATCTCTCCTGCGTGGGCAGTGAGGATCGGGGGGGTTCGTAAATAGGGTTTAGAGGCCAAAAAGAAAGGAGAGCCGAGATGACGGATGGGGATGGGCTGTGCTTGCGACATGGAATGGGATGACCTGCAGGGTTCAAGGAGCCTGGGTGTGGTTCGCCGCCGGGGAGTCTTCACGTGTTTGCGCCGTGAGATGCCGGATGAGTGGTTCACGTTTGCTAGAATCCTTGCTAGGATGTGGAGGAATCTTGTGCGTGGATCAACCAGCCGCATGATTGCATTGGATGCGCAGCTTGCACTGCGCCATGGTAGCACGCATTCCAAGTGAATACTACAATGTAGAGTATGGTGGTAACATCTGGCCCTGGGAGCTTCTGTGCTTTCCCCCGTCCCCCCGGCATGCTCCATGCACATGCCTCAGCTCAGGTGCGGAAATAAGAGACCAACGCCAACGGCGGCGCAAAAGGCGAAATTGGTGTAGGGTTCACAATAGGTAGGTTTGGCAGTTAGGCAGCTAGGGTGCGTGAATCGAAAGCTTGGTGCGCTCCAAGCTTGCCTTTGAGGTAACCATGGAAAGAAGCCGATCATTGTCGATCTGCCTTCTTCTCCAGACTGGATGGTTCGAGGACGGACAGCGAGTAAGAATAGGGCATGATTAGAAGTGTGATGGTTGTGGTGATTTGCTGCAGGAGTGGATGATGGATGATATGGTACTGTGGTACTGCGAGGATTCGTCTTACTGAATGTAGGTTCGGTGCGTCATTTGACCATGGTGCTGACGATCTAGAGCATTGAACAGTACCGGTATAGTACGTACTCTGAGGTAGTCGGTGTGCACATACAGTACCGGTACGTACGACAGTCAGACCGACAGGTTAGAAGGTTCGCGGGGATACCTAGTACATTCTGTACACTGGACAGCACAAACAGAGGCCCTTACTACTGGCCGGTACATCCGCAGAGTGCAGATAGGAGAGAGATGACGGGGGGAGGGGGCGCTTGGAGCCAAGGGTGAAGGTCAGACAGTCAGTTGCAGGGTACGTGCGCTTATAGCCCTTGGAAGGCCGCTTAATCCCCGGGCTGCCTGATTGGGACTAGGGAGTTGCGCCGGACGCACGCCCGTTGACCTTCACAGGGGCTCCATCCTCGTACTCCCAAGACGTCGCCACCCCCAAACCCCATCGCGCCGGGAGTCTTTTTGGGCCCGCCCTTAGGGCCAGACAAGGAGGGGCCATGCGTACTCCTAGGAGTAGGAGTACAACAGGACTTATCAAACCCGCATTGCGCCGCTCCACGCCTCCTCTTCTCTTCTTCCTGTGATACCCATTCGTCGACTTTTACACGATATCCCACACTTCCACTTCCACTTTCACTCTCGACTCTCTCCAGCCTGTTTCCAAGAAAGCGAAATCATGACAGCCACCATGTTTCGCGCCTTCTCCTTCGACCCTGTAGGACGACCAGCCTACAGCCTATACGAGGCAGACCGCGCAGCCATGAACGTTTCGCCCACTTCGCACGTCGCAGATCTACGCTGCCTCTACCAAAGACCTCGTACACCCTCGCCATGCACAATAAGTCATTTAGCCGCACAGCTTCACCAACAGAGTCTGCGGGTTGACCCTTGCTATCCGTCTGCTGCGCCCTCGTCACCATCCCTCGGCGACCACCACGACGTTGAACCCCGCAGCCCACGGCCAACCTATTCGCGCGTTGCGGCATCACTACTCCGTATGCAGCGGCAAAGCAATTCGCGCATGCAGTGCAGTGCCTCGCATGTCCGCGACATCTCAGCTCTTGTTCGCATGATCGAAGAAGAGGAACAATGCACCGTCTCGGACTCGAAATCTCGTACCTTGTCTGAGTCATCCAGTTCATCCATCGAGTCAAAGTCTACAGTACCCGATGACGATGACGACAACGATGAGAGGCGCAACATGGACTGCGACCATGTTACGCGGGAGCTCGAGACCTTGCTCGGAATGCAACGATGGCAATCGAACGAGAGGTCAGGTAGCTGCGTCCGCGTTACCAGGACGGTGCGCATGCGGAGGCGGGCTGGCAATGGTGTTCAGAAGAGAAGGAGTTCGTGATTGAGACATGTATACACAGGCGCGCACACACGCATAGAGAGAGTGTGTGTGTGTGAGATTGGGACTTTGGACACAACAGGAAAGGGTGGAATGCATTGCACGGCGTTTTGGTTGTTTGAAAGCACTATACCACAGAATCAGGAACTCAACTAGACGGGGTTGGGGCTGGGGTTATACAGCGACGCCTCTGTATTCAGCTGATGCTGATCGCGTCGTCTATTACCAACATACAGAGCTCGCCAAGGGTTGAGCACATGGTGGAGGCGACAATGCAGCGCGCAGTCGCTCTGCTTATATTATTACTTAGCTACCATATTACACATTGCCTATGGACTACTAGAGTATCCAAACATGATCTTGAGCGAACCCAGTACTACACGTCCCCATCAGCACCCTCCTCCGCCTATCCTACCGCGACAACATCTTGTTGATGCCACCCTTTCCACCGGTATTCCCAACAGGTGGAATAGGCCAAGCAAGTGGAAATCTACTATAAGATGAGGGTGATGCATAGAGCAACCCATTCCCTGGAAAGGCGCGTGGCGTGGCCTGAGCGTTGAGCGTTGAGCGTCGAGCGTCGAGCGTTGAGCCTCAAGTGGACCTTTCCAAGCTCGAGCCCTCTTTGATTACACCCAAATTTCACTCGCCGCCGCCGCGCAGCACCGACCACACCGACACGACTGGCAATCAGCACTGAGCAGCAGTAGGTACAATACATCAGACCACGACGAACGAGAGCCATCTGCATCTGATTATGCGACGGCATCTTTTTGACCGGCCATGGCGATGAAACGAGCATTGGCTGCGCGTTCGGTGCACATGCGCATTGTCCCCCGCCCGGCCAACCTGTCGGAGAGCAGAGAGATATTGAGGGTCTTGAGGCGGTTTGGGGAAGTTAGCATGTTCAAGTATATGAAGGTCGGTTGCCATTCTCCCACAATCCCGTCTTCAAGAAGAATGAACAAGATCCAAATCACGGTCGGCAGAGCTGATTACAGGCCCCACAGTATGAATACCAAAACCCCATACACAACGCCGCCCTCGCCATATTCCGCGACGCAAGCTCAGCCCAAGCCGCCCTCGACGCCTCCCCAATCCGCTTCGCTCTCGAACAGATCGTGCCCACCGACTCCGACAATGCGCAGTTCCCGTCTTCCCAAGAAGCCGCCGAAGACGACACAACCTCCTCCTCCACCCAACCTCTTTCTAACCCCCCAAGCGACAACCTAGACGATATACTACGACCCTCCCAACTCCTTCCACATGATCTCCCCTCGTCCATCCCGTCGCCTCCACCTCCAACTCCACCCCCAATGCCATTCGACACCTCCCCCACCCCAACCACCAGTACCACAACATCGTACACCAAACCCTTCCTCCTGACCCTCGACCGCTCCCGCGTCATCCATGCCGACTTCATCGAGCGCCAGCCCTGGTACAAATACTTCCACCCAATGCGCTCGCTCGCCCAACACGATCTCGCGCCCCAAGTGCCACACCCTGGGCTCAGCGACGTTAGCAAGCGGCCTCCCAATGCGTGGAGGACTCCAAACCGTGTGCTGCGCACTATGAGCGAGTACGTGGAGCATAATATGCCGTCGCTTAAGAAGATTGCAGAGGGCACGGATGGCGATTATGAGGAGCGTGTTTTGCAGCGGCAGCAGAGGGGGAAGTGAAGATGGGGAGAGAGTTTAGGCCTATGTTCCAGCAAGCGTGTGTGGCACGGCTGATGACGGTACGAGACTAGGTTATCAAATATAACCTGTGTGAATTGACAGCACTGTCCCGAGAGCATGTCGCGGACTGTAGACTCAAGTATCGAGAACGAGAACAATGTCATGCACTTAATACAATACTTGATTTTTTTTTTAAAAAAGAAATAGATTCACCCTACCACCTGCACACGTGCAACTACCAACGCCACAGACGTGTTGAAAACAGCCAGTGCCATGGGAATATATAACTTGGGTGCGCATGTTAATTCATCACTTTCTTATCCACCAAAGTCGATTGTGTATTCGCCGGCTTGGGTTTCCATGGCAAAATACAATTGCTATATTTGATGTTTCCTTCTTGATTCCTGGCTGTAGTCATGTAGGCATCTTTTTGGACGAGCTTTTGGAATGAAAGCAAGTGGATGTGAGGAGTATATTAATTTAAATGCAAGTGTCACAGAGAAGACAGTGGGATCTTTAGGTTACTAGTCATGTACAGTTTTACTGGCACTCCATTGGAATATTGCATTGTTCTTCACTAGCTATGACTGATATCGAGATTGTGATTGTGTACCGGTAAACCGCGTCCTGAATGTCTGGTTGTGGTCTCAACAACGTGCCTGAGCCTCCAAGTTCTACAACGTTTCGATTCCAAAGCGGTAATGCGTAACAGAGGCCAAAAGATACAGACAACTGCTGTGGGGCCGTTCGTGGGGCTTGGGAAGCTTGAGGAGGACCTTCCCCCAAAACATCGCTTCAGCCCTCTTCGGCCCTTTTCCACCATCTCCCGGATATTGGATGAAGACCCATGTAAATAACATGCCCATTAACACGTACCTATTGTCCGGACAGAACCTCCGATGGGATAGAACAGCGAAGGATGCATGCGCGCACGGCCTGAGGCGCTTGAAATCATGGCATGCTGGTCGGCTCCGTCATGTGTGATTGGCAGAGAAAGGCAAAAAGTGTCTGCAGGATTGCGAGTCAAATAGCTATCCGTGAGCGCAATGGACTAGAAGTACCGCCATCAACATGGAATCAACTCTGACAAAGCAAATAGGCCCTGAGATCAATCCGCCAATAGAGGAGGGTTCCAGTACCGTGGGCCGACGTCTGATAACCTTTCGACCATGAGCCACAGTCCTGGGGCTGTCTTTGTCAACCGCCGTTGCGTCGCGAGCACTGAGAGCATATCGGTAGAAGGACATTCCTTCTGGCAGGCGCATTGAAAATGGTCAGAGGAACAAGCGCCATCGTCGCATTGTGTACTTTCTATGCAAGTGGCGCAGCACTCCAAATTCGACCTGCAGCCCTTGGGGATGCAACATACGACTATGTTGGTGAGTAGTATTCTCGATCCTCAAAATTGTTCGGTCATTCGTAAATATCTACCACTAAATTCTAAAGAGACCCAGCTAAGAGTATGTAGTTGTTGGTGGCGGAACAGCCGGCCTCGCAATCGCCTCTCGTCTCTCAGCTTTCGCATCAGTAGCCGTGATCGAGGCTGGTGGTTTATATGAGCAGGACAATGGCAATCAGTCTGTCATTCCATATTACGGACTTGTGATGCCTGTATTGGGCACATCCGAGGACTACCCAGCCAACCCCCTCATCGACTGGGACCTACTATCAACACCGCAGGAATCGGCCGGAGGGCGACGTATTCATTATGCGCAAGGCAAGACGCTTGGAGGTAGTTCCGCCCTTAACACGATGTCGTACCATCGCGGGACTATCGGTTCGTATAAGCGATGGGCAGACATGGTTAACGATCAAAGCTACACTTTTGATCGGCTTCTGCCATACTTCAAGCGATCTGCTACGCTTACGCCTCCAAATCTCGCAAAAAGGAAGGCACCAAACGCCACTGTCTTGTATAACCCCAACGCGTTCGACAACTCCTTGCGCGGGCCTCTGCAAGTATCTTGGGCAAATTGGGTTGATCCGGCACAGAGCTGGCTGGCTCGCGCTCTACAGGCGATTGGACAGAAACTAAATCCCCTTGGCCTCAGCAGTGGAATTGTGAACGGAGGGTCTTGGGTTCCTACGACGATCCATCCCAGCGATGCAACCCGAAGCACATCTAAGAGCAGTTATCTGGCATCTGCGCTCCGGAATAAGAATGCAAGAATCGCAATATACTTGCGATCCCAAGCGTCAAAAGTGATGTTCGACCGCGCGAAGAGAGCCACCCGAGTGGCTGTGTCCAGTGGTGGTCGAAACTTTATAGTTTCTGCAAAGAAAGAGATCATCGTCTCTGCTGGCGTGTTTCACTCTCCCCAACTGCTCATGTTGTCAGGTATGTTTCGTACAGCAAAATGGAAAGTATGGGCTTAGGCTAACTTTTGAAGGCATCGGTCCTGCATCCACGCTCCACTCTCACTCCATCAACGTCGTTTCAGACCTTGGGGGCGTCGGTCAGAATCTTTGGGACCAGATCTTCTTCAACGTTCTACGAGGAGTCACCGCGCCAAACACGGGCACATACATCACTACGCCAGCACAGCAGGCCTTGGCTGTGACGCAATACCTCTCAAATGCAGCTGGACCATACAGCTCTGCAGGAGGCTATTTATCTTTCGAAAAGTTGCCCGCGAAAAGTCGTGCAACTCTTTCGCCCCGTACCTCGAATCTGCTTGCAAAGTTTCCCTCAGACTGGCCGGAGATTGAGTACATCGCATCCGGCTTTCCAGGTGATTTCCTCAATCTAACGACGGTTGGTGTAATCAGTGGCACTTTGCTCACACCTGCCTCAAGAGGCAACATGACTATTAGCAGCGCTTCCATCGCTGACCCCCCAGTCATCAATCTCGGCTGGTTGAGCGATCCTGCCGATGGAGAGGTTCTTGTTGCTGCTTTCAAGCGCGTGCGCGAAGCATGGAATAGTACCGCGATCGCGGGTGTTGTTATCGGCCCAGAAATTACCCCGGGCGACGCGGTCTCCACTGACGAGCAGATCCTCAACTTTATTAGAACATCAGCACAACCAATCTGGCATGCAAGTTCCACATGTGCCATGGGTAGAGCAGGAGACAAGGCAGCTGTAGTAGATTCCAAGGCTAGAGTGTTTGGTGTGAAAGGCTTGAGGGTTGTTGATAACTCTGTCATTCCGTTCAGCGTGCCTGGTCACCCTCAAAGTTCAGTGTATATGCTCGCCGAGAAGATCGCCGAGGATATCCAAATGGGGCATTGACAGTACGGTACGAAATTGGCTGGCCATACCTAATTAGCAAACTGTAATTGTAAATATAAACAATATCATGTGAACTGCAATATATATATTCGACATTAGAAATGCTTTTCCTTAGCCGAGTCGTGCGGCGAATGGCCAAGTCCACGCCGGTATGTTGGTTTCGAAGCCCATTATCTCATTATTACAGCAATTGTTGATGTGTATAGGAACATAAGATACACCGGATCTAACCCATCAGTCGTTGCATCTCGATGCAGTGATCAAGAGACTTTTATCCGATGCCTTTGGCCGAACGCCATGTCTCACTCCACATTTTTGTGTCTCCTCCTCTCCATTCAGCTGTTCTAAACTAAAATTCGATTGGTGCCCAGAGTGGTATCCGGAGTCAGAGACGGGCCCATGTGCACTCGGGTTGACTTGATTGCTGTTTGGATCTCTGAAGGCAGGAAAGGCGACGCTATTGTCGGGTGCCCGTTTGGCTAGGAACTGAGTGCGAACCAAGGTGTAAAGTATGGGTAGGCAGGTGCAAATTATACCAAGCCACATCTCGATCAATCTGCATTTGTTAGCGAGGAATTAGTTACTGGATGTCATGATGTAGTCGTACAGCCAGATGAAGTTCGAAACCATTGCCCAGGTCCCGTCAGTGTTGACTATGTGCATTCCTCTTACTACTTGCTCCACCCTGATCAGACTAACAACACAAACACTAGATATAGTTAGAATACTAACGCGTAGTTCTGACCGAGAGGGCTAACTTACATCGACCCCGTCATTAGCAGTAGGGCTGCACCAATCTTTCTGTGTAATGCCCACTGAAGCTTGCGCATAATGAAGATGGGCAGGACCAAGAGCGCCAAATCGTCAGCCGCATTGATACATGCGGTGGCAAGGAAGAATGCGGTCAAGTTGATGCACTTCCCGGTCATGATGCTGAAGTCCCAATACTTCGCGATGGGCTGGCAAACCCAAAGAAAGCCAAACGCTGCCAGTGTGCTGTTAATGACCGAGACGATCAGGACTATGTAAACGGCGGCTCTAAAGGCAGTCTCGAAGGGTGACAGACGGAGGTAGAATAGTCCCAGGGATATCTTGGTGAACATTGTAGCTAGGTTGTAAAATATGGGACCTGCGATATCGCCTATCTGCGTTGAATTAGCACATTTATATTTGTCCGTATTAGACAATGCAATGTTTGTAATACCTTCATCAATCTGTAAAAATCTGCTGCGGAAACCTCCCAAATGTGACGGCCCAGGCCGTTGGTCGTTTCTAGGCATCGTCAGTTCTTGAAAGTTTTATAAACTGGTGGCACGTACGATAGCCGACGTAAATGGAGAAGAACAAGGCCAGTGTCTGCGTATCGTTTAGTGTTTGCCGCCATGAAGGAAAGTTTCTGTGCATACAGTGGCCGCCATGATAGAATCTGGCATGGTTTAGTCTCAGTAACGCAATACGCTCGATAGATCCCAGTACATACAATCATCCCATCCCACGCTTCGTAAAATAAACCGCTTTGTGTATAATCGTAAAAGACAGATGGGTATCGAGAGTACAGCGCCTACAACAGCTACTATGATCACGCGATGTGCGATTGACTCGGTTGGATTGTCAAAGTTCGGAACAACACCTGGGGGAGGAGGCATCGCGCCGACTGTACTGCTGTCCGAACCCATGTCGACGTATCGCACCGAGTAGAGGGAACGAGATGATCAGATCTTGGTGGGTCGTGTGAGAGCGAACTCAGACACGATATTGTTCGATTCAAGGTGGGTAGTGATCACTAAGATCAACGATCGACGACTTGAACACTGCAATTGTGCTGGGATTGCGCATACGCATATCGGTGGCTGCGGCAGAAACGCACATTTCGTTTTGCTGGAGACAAAGGAGTTGCTTTCATCTTCTTCCGTCAATAAATTCCAGAGATGCAGCCAATTGCGATGCGGTCTTGCAGCATATTCGGTCCGAATCTCAACTGTTCACGGACGGCAGGCTATACCCGAGCCGCACATTGGGCGCGACAACATGACCTTGAATCAGTTCATACGACAGTAAATAGCCTGTGGCAAGCCTAACCCGTCTCCCCGACCCGCAAAGTCGCATGGTATCTTCAAGTTTTTCACCTTGTGCCAATGCATGCCATTAACATTGATATAGGAAGGCCTAAGCTAGAGTATCATCTCTGCATCATGTCCTTGCCGATGAGGTATTTGATCGCAAGCTGCCTGCGGTATAATAGTACGTTTCTGAAGGAGGCGGACGAAACGGTATACGATGCCTGATGTGAGATGGATGGGATGTGGTGAAAGGCCCGATTACCCTAGCTTGTCCAGCTATTCATCGCAACGAGTACTGTACTATCGCATCGCGCGGTGAGTTAAAAATTGATGTTGACAATGTTATTCTAGATTGGCAAACATTAACTATAACCATGCCGGTAACTATTGCTAATCGACTAGGTACGGTACGCAGTCTGGCTGCAGCTGATCACCAGCCCGCTGCAGGCAGAAATATTGCGACTGCGACATCTGCCTAATGTAACGACTCAGGTAGGTAGGGCATCCAAAAGGTATCCTATACGACTCAAAGGCATATAGGAGTGCGCGTCTGTACGGAAAAGGATGAGATTCCTACACCTATAGGTCTTGTACAAAAGGACAAGAAGAATATGCCTATCCTAACTATAGGCAAGCTATTCTCTATATATATAAGTAAGTTAGGCCTTTATTAGGCCTAACTTAGTATAGAAAAATAGGTAGGTAATTCTACCTTATTATTACACTACCCCCTCCTATAGAGAAAGGATAGTCCCTATCCTTAGGATTAGGTTCAGATCCCCTATTAAAGAAGAGCTTTTTGCAAAATAAATCCACCTTTACCTCTACCTTTACCTTTACTTCTTATTCCTAGGGTATAGACCCCTATCCTTAGCCTACCTATAACTAGCCCTTTACCTACTAACTTTCTTATTTCTATATCCCTAATTTTTTAATTATTTAACCTAATCTATCTAAAATCTAGTAAGTATTTAATCTATATAATTAAGTAGTTACTAATCTAAATTAGAACCTTTAGCTATGCTAGTACTAGTATTACTAGGAGTCCTTCCTATTACTTATCACGCTCTCTATATAAGGGTAGTTAGGGCTCTAGCTAGGGGTAAGTTTAATAATTTTAATTTTAAGTTAAAGAATTCTAAGAAGTACTAGTACTATATCTCCTAGAATAAGTATTATAATCTAGTAAGTATCTGTTGCAGGAGGGATATTAACCATATCACGGAGCATCTTAATCCAATTAACCCTGATTAATACCCCTGTATAACCCACTATCTAATTAACTACTAGCTTACTGCTAAGTGCCTAATAAAAAGCAGGAGCTCTAGTAAGGAAGGTTTACTAATTATTTACCTTTAGGTAAGGGTAGCTAAAGCTCTATATATATAAGTACGATTGTAGTAGATATAATCTAATAATCTATCTCCTAAATTATTCCTAACCTTAGTAATCTAAATTTATATAGTTATAAGCCTGGTTTACACTCTACCTTATTAAAGATTGTCCTATCTATTTAAGCGTATTATTTAACTTAGACACTAAGCTAGTAAGCTTTACTCTTTCTTTATACTATTTCTTAAGTAGAAGCTTACTTATTACTCTTCTACTATAAGCAACTAAATCCTAAAGGGGGATATCCTACTTACTAGATTAACTAACTAGCCTACCTAGTATATTTAATTTAGATACCATGCCCTAACTAAAGGGATCTAGGTAGAGGTAGACCCTAAGGCTTAGGATGCTAAAAACTACTTTAAGAATAAACCTATTAAGCCTAATATACTAATAGATATTACGCTATCTAATATAACAAGCAAGTAGTATAAACTTAAAATAGCTTAGTACTAAGCCTGCTTATTAGATTAGGTATTAAAGTTATTAGTAATCTAGAACCTTTTTATATAGGTTAATAATATAGTAGATTAAGGGATCCTTACCCTAGCCTATATAGAGCTTGTTAATTAAGGAAGAGTAACCCTCTAAGCACTTATCTAAGTGCTCTATAATAACCTAACGCTAACTAATTTAAGCGCTATAACACTAGCGAGATTATAGTATAAAGCTTATCTTGCTAAGGCAAAGATAAGTAGCTAAGACGCTAATTACTAGTAGAAGGAGTGGACAATCCTATATACGCAAGCTAAGGTATATAACATTCCTAATATTAAAGGATAGCTTGTAGTATAGGATTATCTTAAAGCTCTATCTACTAGGATCTTACTAGATTAGGGTTAAACTATATTTTAAAGGATTATTAAAAAGTTAGTAATAGGAGAGATAACTTATAACCTCCTATAGGTTGCTAAGATCTATTTATTACTTCTCTAAGAGAATAATATAAGATTAAGCTCTAAGGGTCCTAGAGTGTTTGTAATAATAGGAGCTCCGCCTTCTAATTAACCTAAGAAGGAGTCTTTATACCTATCCGGTAGATCTTACCTATAGAAACCTACTAAATACAAAAACATTATTAAAGCTTAGACTAATATAGGTAACAAGCTTACTACTACTTAATAATTAGAGATTAAGAAAAAGATTAATGTAAAGGGCTTAGGCTTATGCCTAAGCCTAGGTCTAACACAAGACAGACCAAGTCCAACACTACTACTAAGCGAACACACTAGACACCTATAAAAAGGCGTGGAGGGCTTACCTCTCCTTTAAGATACTAAATACTATTATTAACACTTATTATATTCTCCCTTAAGGCTAGTCTATAATATTTTAGTATCTTCTTCTAAACATACTATAATAGTAATAAGAGATAGACGCGCTAGATATTTAGAATAACTAGGTGTAACCTAATATAGTAGAAAGGCTAATATAATAGGTCTATAGATTAATAGAATAACAGGCTTAAGACTCTACTATAATAGCTATACTACATTAATAAAACAAGGAAATACGCAATTAGATTCTATCCTAACCCTCCTCTAAGCCCGCTAGGTTTAATAATATGCTGCCTCTACCCTCTTCTACCTTATATTGCAAACCCTTCCTAGTTAGCTTGCTATATAATAGCACTAAGGCAAACTTCTCCTCCTAGCAAATAACTATAGAGTTTAAACTACGTGCAGACGAGGTCTTTATTAGGGATAAGGAGGCAAGGTTTATATATATTTAGTCCTAGTTATTACCTATAGTCTAGCATGCTATAGCACTATACTTTAAGGATAGTGCACATAAGCGTTAGGATATAAGCAGGTTTCTTAACTATCTAGCGTTCTATTATAGTAACTACTATAGGCAGGAGCGCGCCTAAGTTATATTAGAACACTTATATTAGGGCTAAAATTAGCCTTTTATAGAGTTCTTTATAAATTTTGTGTAGCTCCTTATATAGATAGGAGGTTTACACTAGGATAATAAATAGAAGCTTTTATAACTTTAGTAATCTCTTAATAGTTATATACGCTTAGTTTCCCTTAATAGGGGAGTCTCTAGGACAAACTATAACGTAGCTATAGAGGAATATAAGATAATTATAGTAGATATTAAAATAGCCTCTCTAGAACTAGGTTTTCTTTAGGCTAGTAAGTCTAAGGAACCCTAGTAGAAGTCTAACTTAGATTAGGACAGTAATATAAATATAGTAGAAGTAGTAGCCTTATTAAGTGCACCTACTAAACTACTAATATTACGTCCTAACTAGATCCTACAGGACCTATTTAATGCACAGAAACTAGCAAAGGTCTACACCTAGTGTAGATAGGGCGGTTATTTTATACATGTATACCCTAATACCCTATTACTATAACTAGTAGGTGTTAAGATAGTTGTAGTATTAGTAAGCGGCCCTAATTTAGGAAACTAGCTACCCCTAACTTTAGGCTAAGTTAGGGGTATAAGGAGGACACTATAATAGAGGAATTATTAATAGTAGAGGCTATTAAGTGTCCCCTAGATATTAAGGCTAGGTTAAATAATCCTCCTTTCTTTATTCCCCTCCTCCTAGGTAGAGTAGAGAATATGCAAGCGATAGTTAATTTAGGGTGCTAGTGTTTTAGTGTAGTTAAGGAAAAGTTAGTAAGATAGATTAGTAGGAACTTTATAGATATTCCCCCACAACCCTTATAACATGCCTAGGGAATTACTAAGGGTATAAGAATTTTATAGTTAGTAGTATTAGACTATAATTTAGATAGTTAGTAGTCTTAGCTTTTAGCCTATATAGTACCTAGTCTCTCCTATTAACTAATACTAGGCAGACTATAGCTATGTAGAGAGGGCGTTGTTATAGACATTCTATAAGGCGAATTAATAATTAGGAAGGCAGGAAATATAGTAGTATAAGAGAGTGGGAGACGCCTATATCCTACCTATATCTCTATTATCTTAGGTTTAGTTATAGCAGGGTTACTAAATTAAGGACCCTAATAGGAAGATATATAGGTACAAATTTTTATAATAAATATACTAGATATTTTATAGGTAATATATAACTTACGCCTAATAAAATATCTAGGAAGTAGTAATAAGGGAAGTCCTATTAATATACACACTATCTATATTGCTAATAGCATAGTTCCCTATAAGCCTAAGTAGGAAACTAGAAAGATAAAGTTACTACTAGAACTACAAGAGTTTAAGGACCTATTTAACAAAGAGTTAGCAAG